GGAAGAGGAAACGACAGCATGAGAGCGAGCGAGGCATTGAGAAAAAGGGAGAAATATCCCGGTTAGGACGAAGCCCCGTCGGCGTCGCACGAAATCGAATCGATATCTCAGCCTTTCGTTAATGCGATCAATTAACGATCCTCCGGTCGATCGTTCGTCCGAAAGCCCGACTGACGTTTGCACAACCGGATGTGTTATAATCGATGCGTGCGTGCGCGTTTCGGTGGCTCCTGAACGCCGCGAACGACGGGGGGAGTCGAAAACTCGGCGAGCGAAGCGCTCGTTAATTAATAAACGGCGTGTACGCTCGTTACGTTCGCCGCAACTTAATTTGCGACTACGTATTTACGACTCGCGCGTTAGCCCGAGAATTCATCTCACCCGTTCTCCATTCTTCGAGCTCGGCCGTTAGTGAGAAGTCGCGGGGGGGCGGGGGGGGGGCGATGACTTTTCGGCGTTTCCGCGCGTTATGCGCGCGCGAGAGAGGAATATCGTGTAAACCCACCGTTTCGTCGGCGCTCTTCTGACGAGAGCGATAAACTAACGACCGATAAATCGATCGATGCCGCGGATATGGAGAAGCGCCGCTACCCGTTCCGCTGATTAAACGAATTTGCACGAGCGGATTCTGTTAACACCCCGGCGGCAGCGAGCCGCCCGGTCCCGCTCGAATCGGCGCATCGCGCATTTTCAATCTCGATTTCAAGCCCCTCGAGCGAGGTAGAGGAAAAGAGAGAGAGATATAACAATCGCGTTTTACAACACGAACAATAATAACCGGTAACACCGTTCTCGTGTCATTACTACTGTAGTTGGAAACGTTATCTTTTAAAAGTAACTTGTCACTGTTGTCCATTATTTGTTGGAAAGGATAATTCGTTATACCGTAACCATCACTTTCAAGTATAACTCGTCACTTTTATTGGAAACTCGACGAGAGAGTTTATATCTAATCATAATATATATTAACTTCGGTGAACTTGCGGAGTTACTTGAGACGGAGCTCGATCGTTCGGAATTTGCGTTGAACAATGATCGAAAGGTACGAGGAGAATAGGCCAAGAGGAAGAGAACACGTGGATAATGTTTGTATAACGTCTCTTGTTAATTAGTTAGTTATGTAAAATCATTTTCACGTTACACACGTTTGCGTAATAATAACGTTACGTCATAATTATATGATAATATTATCGCGCCGACGAAAGACAGAGAATTAGAAGAAAGTCAATAAGAAGTTTGGCCACGACTAGCCGTTCCGTCGCGGCAGACGCGTAGACATCGTGCGTCATTCATATGAATCAATATGTGCGATTTATATAACTAATTAGCGAGAGACGTTATTACACAAATATCATAATTTCTCCCCGAATATCGCCGCGTTATCGCGGTTGCATTTTGATATCTTTCGGATGATTATAAAGACGAGCAATAACCCCGACGTCGCAAAGAAAGAATAAGGTATCAGCGCAGCGCGATATCACAATGTGTATCGGGCCGTATCGGAAATCATTTTCTCTATTTTCTACAAATGCCTTTATATGTATGCAAAATATTTCACAATCGAGTCTAATTTATTACCTAATTATTACCGCCTGAATAATAATAATATTATTATTATATTTAATGTTTCATTTAAATGTTATATTTACGGAGATAATTCATGCTTCTCTACGAGTCGGAAAGAATAAATATTCGTTATCTTCGTCGAAGGTTATTTGTGTGCTCGATCCAATAATACTTCATGTCCAACGATTAATTATCTTAATCAGAGCGAGGCTCATTTTTCCAATTACACGACCCGATCGACTCTCTTCCTCCTGATTTATTCGTTTTTTGAATTTCCTATATATCGCGTCGTATCGAGTAAGAGAGAGAGAGAGAGACGACGGCATCAATGAGAAGAGACCAGCGAGCTGTGACTCACCGCGATCACACGCGTTCCCATACATCAGATGCATCGCGCACTGGTATTTCATCTACCCGCTTATATCGCATTACGAACACGATGGCTATTTGTTTCAAGTGCTCGCCAACGCTGTTTTGCGTTTAGCGGACATTATTAGAACAGACTATTACACAATTTGCATGGCGACAATGGCATAAGACGGCGCCCCGGGAAAGGGTCGTCGGTGCGATAAACAGTAATAACGCAATTCCTGATGTGGTGGTGGGAGAAGGAGAGCGGGGGTGTCCTCCGGGTTCGAGGATGCCTGTCGAGATGGAATAGATCGCGCGAGTACGACGGGGAAAAAAGATGAGGTGGAGGAATGTGCTGGAGAGAAGAAGCGACGATGAAAGACATAATTATTCCAGAGTGCCCTTTGTTGTCGCGTACGCGATGACTGACGGTGGTGCGCACGTGTATGTCGCGTGACGACGCGACATTCTTGTCTTGAATGCAGGGCGAACGCATGCCCGCGGAAGATATCATCCTCGCATCCGCGACATAATCCCGTTTTCATATCGCGGGAATACGCACACATTAAGATTCCCGTGAAACTGAGCTTGCCCGGCAACGATAAACGTGACGTTGAAAGTTTATAAAGATTTATAAAGCGAGGCGAGGACAATTAAATATTACACGCATTTCTGTACACAATTCAAGTACGAACAAACGGATGTATTTGTACGTATCGGTGTTCCTTTATCGTTCAAAAGTCACTCGAGCGCAAGTTTCCCCAAAATCGGCGAGACGACTGCGAGGCTCTTTGTCCCGAAATTAAAAGATTCGCGGACTTCTTCGACGGAAATTTTATCCGAAGAATAATGCCGATGCTTGTCAACGTATTTACAGTGCAAGAATGGCAACGTGACCCGGACTACCTTTCACAAGGGAACAAATAATACTCGCGACAAATTGAATACTTCCTGGTGCATTCTTGATGGCGCGAAACCGATCGTACATGTGTACACTGGTCCTTCGCGAGTCCTATTTCCGCAAATAGCGATAACAATCGACATCGTGAATTGTTTGCCGTAGATACATTGGTCTTTTTGTAAAAATTGAAACGTAAGATTTGGGAAGATTTCTCACGATAAGAGATGAAGAATCACGATAAGATTTGTGAAACGTCTATTCTCGCGAGACATGAAGTTTAGTGAACATTCAGTTATAAAGTAAGTCGTGCATTTATATCGATTGACCTCGAGGAAAAGGGTGGCGATAAAGAAACCGAATATTTTGTTGAAGGATACAAATGAAAAAGTGTATGTATAATCCTTATATTTATTATAACGAGCAGTGCCGAATCTCAACGTATTTTCCTCCTAACAAATTGGAGTATAAATAATTATTTATACGCATCGTTTTAAATTACATTGCGGGTTAAAATGTACGATGCGTGTTGGGCATCGTACGAGAGATTGGTAAATTTCGTTTTTGGCTGGGATCCTCACATCGGCATCAGCTCGAGCTTTATATCGAAAATTGATGGCCGGAACGTGACTAACGACCAGTGAGTCGATATTTTCTCTTAGCCCACTCTCTCGTTCCTCCCACTTCTCTTCTTCTCCCGCTCCTCTTCTCTTTCTCGTCCGCTTCCTCGTAAAACGTTTGTCTAGTGACTCGCTTTTATTTTATTATGATTTCCTACGCAACCGTGTAACGTTGTCAAATGATCCGAAGTGACCTCGTCGAGAGTTAATGCAACTCGCGTTAACTCGAGTCGATACCCTCGATTACATCGATCGGAAGGACATTATTATGGCGAATTACTGCGTAGATGAGACTGTCGTATTTTAGAATCGAATGATGTCCGCGGAGAGATGTGAAAGCAGTCAGTTACGAGTGACCGCATCAGAGCGGGGGTGGTTTGCCCGTTTCGAGTCGTATCCCGTTTCTAAAAGCAAGCATCGGGACTAATATAGCTTAGAGAAGATATTCACACGGTATCGATTGAAATTCGAAATCATGGTTTAATACTCGCCCCGCTATAGCAATGAAAGTACGAGCCTTTATTCACCGTACACCAGTTTATTTTGGATTATGTTGCGTATGATAGGCAACCATATGGACGAACGATGCGTCCGGCACCGAGCGCATCCGGTTTAAAAATTGGGTCGCCTCGGGGGGGAGCATTCAGATCAAAGAAATATCGAGTAACGTAACTCGCTCTTGAAAACTAATTTGACAAATTAAATTCTCGCTTTGCCATATACAATCGTTTTTCCTCTGCTCTCGCGGACAACGAGGGTACGCGATTAAATTTTCCTTTCTTCAAAAATGTATTTTTCTCGAAAATATTCGGACAATAGGTTGCACGATCAATTATCTATTCAATTAATTATCGTGTTTAAAAGATGATACGACGATGCATGGATGAGCTAATTTAATCAGAGTCCCTTTCACCAACAGCCTGACCGAACAAATTCAATCAAAGAATGTGAGGATGAGGATTGATAAGAGCGATTTTAATGAATGTAATGGATTAAATCCGAAACTTCGCTAAGAAGCCATGTTCCCGACTAACAAGCAGACCATCGATCTTTTCTATAAGAGTCGAGAGGAAGATAAATATCCTTTTTTGAATATTATTTAGCATTCGATCTAACCGTCTCGCGCGAGAGTCAAACGTGACGCGAGAAAAAAAATATCGGTCGTCACACAAATGGGCTCTATTCGACGGCCCATCGGCTTCTTCGGCGATCGAGCCGGCCTGATCAGCCAGCCAGCGCCGATAATTTGCCCAGGTGGTGACTTTCCGCGAGTGTCAGCGGCAAGCACCTGTGGAATACACGTCCACAGAAATCCCGGCGGCGGCGGCGACGCTGGTCGTCGCTCGTCGACGGCTCTCGCGCGAAATTTCGAGTTCGGCGCGCGATGAGATATCGCGGTCGTGGATGGCCGCGGGAATAGAGCAACGGGTGAACACCGTGACCGAGGTACATGGGTACGTTTGATTGGACGAGAATGCCTCGGCGGCGCTCCGCGACGAGGGTGGGAATTGGCGATGCGGGGGTGGGGACCGTGCATGGGGCGAGAGTCGCAAAGTCGCGCGCGGGCTTATATAAACGGGTGGCAGACGCTTCGCTTTCACAGAGCCGTATCCACCGTCGCTGGACGACACACCACCGTCACGCGAACGTTCCTCTCTGCTTCCGTCAGCTGCCACCCCCGGCTTCCGTCAGCGTCAAGGTAAGTGTTGCTCTCACGAGCAGATGCACCCCTTCGCGCGAAAAGCTCCCTTTGCGTCCTACGAGCTGTCCCGAGACGACTTTTCGTCGCGGGGAGATCGAGGCGTTGATCATTTGTAAATTACGAGCGATTGAAAGAATCAACGGGGCGGTCTTGAAGGTTAAATCTTTGAGTTTGAGGTAATGAGTGACGGTATTTTATCACCGTCCCGGGTTTAGTCAGACTAGACTCAAACTAGATGTTCACTTAACGAATAGATGCATCCCTTGCGCGAAAAAGCTCCCTTTTCGCCTCCTGCGAAGTGTCCCGGGGCGACTTTTTTTTTTTCGTCGCGGAGAGATTGAGGCATCGGTAATTTTTAAATAGCGAGTGATGAAAAAGATGCACGGGGTAGTCTCGAAGATGAATCTTTCTGAGTATAGAGTAATGAGTGATTAGAATTTTATCACCGTCCCAAATACCGCCGCCAATGCCAAGCTGGCTGTTCATTTAACGAACAGATGCACCCCTGGCGCGAAAAAGCTCCCTTTGCGCCTTACAAGCTGTCCTGAAGCGACTTGTCGGCGCGGAAAGATTAATTTGTTCGGAAGATTAATTTCAAAGATTAATTTTTATACATATTCAGTAATGGAATATTATTACTCTCGTTTGATTTTGAACGTGGACATTCTTGTTCGACGTAATTGTGAGTCGCAGATTGCTTGGAAAGACGTGTCAAACTGATTCTAGTACAGATTGACTCATTTGATTGTTAGCAATATCAAGCGTCTTTCGAGTGAATCGCGAGTATGCGTTCGCGTGATTGTCCAGTGCGACACGGTCCAGTGTGACAGTTAGAGAAGTCTACACTTGATTAGCCAGTAATTCCAGGCGCCTCGTCTCTCTGTGTAGCGAGATTCCGCGCTCCGACTCAGATAGTAGTAAAGTCCGCGTCCCTTCGGGCAGTAGTTATCCTCGCGCTTTGTCAGACCGTATAAATCACGGCAACTACACGGAAACGGTATCCGTTCTATGACACGAAATATATTTGCATGTGTCTCATTGATTCTAAAACTAGTGAAGATTTCCTTCGAAATTGGCATGGAAAATTGATTTCAATTTCCTCGGAAAAATCACGAGTGGAAATAGAGTTGGAATGAGTGGAGTAGCGAAGCAATTTTTAAATTTCGGATAGAAAGGATATTACTGAATTTGAAAGTCTGAAATAGCAAAGATCAACTCTGTTCGATACCGGGGTAAAAACTCTCGCTTCTCTCAAAAAAGCTCACAGATGAAAATAAAGTTGGAGCAAACTTAAGCAGCGCTACGCTTTTTAATCTCGAGTAGCGAGTCCATTCGGATTCACATAATAGAATTTCGTTTCTATGAGTCCTTCGTGTAATTTTTAAGCTTGAACTTTGATCTTATCGTGCTTTCTAAACTCTCCTTATTCCACAGGAGAATACTAATAAAATACGTAAGAATTGAGAGGAAAAGACAGCCTCTAAAGGAAACATTTATTTCTCTTTCGTATAATATAGACGTGCGATATCGTTTCGGTTGCTCGGGTGTTAAAAATGTGTTCTGGACATCTGTGGCATATAAAACAGGCAACGACTGACACTTTGACGGTTGTTATTCGGCAAAAACCGTTCGAACGGACACACGGCGGTGTCCGCATGACGAGGGTTGAAACATAGTAGAGACGAAAAAATTTACATGGGTTCTAAATTTGCATAGTTTTAGTTTCAACGACGGGTGTATTAAGGGGTCAAAAAATAAATGTCAGTCGTATTTCGGAGACAAAGGTTCGCGTTATCTTCTCGTTAATTTAACCGCGGCGGAGTGTGGACGAACTTGCGCGAAAGTTCCCTCGCGTAAATCTGCGGCACATCGAGATATATACGTATTCTTTCACGACTAAAAAGAAGAACAAGAGGCGTCCGTTGGTCGTCGCGAAAAGTATTTTCGCGTAGCATACAGCGATGACGAAACAAAGGGCGAGACAAAGGCACGCTATATAGAGGCGACACGAAGATATTGTATGGATGAAAGGAAGGTGGTGCATGAAACTGCGCGAAGTCCGACTCGTAAATCCGCCGAAACACGGCGAATCTCACATATTTAAAAGCCATATTCCTGAGCGGTGCCTTGGAGGAGCGAAATGAGATGGAACGGAACGAGAAGACTCACGCGGCTCTCCTTCTAATCGAATCGCCAAGTAACGCAACCAATCCACCGTAAAGATTTTTTACGGGCCGCATCTTAAAATGTAGTTAGACATAAGACAGAAAACGATATTCCCTCGACGGTCGAGCGAACATACTTTTATTACTGCTTTCGAGGATATGATACGAAATTCTCATTACCGAGAAATCCACATTATTACTTAAAATATGGAATGTAAAAAGTGACTGCGCGCAGAAATGAGGTTTTTTCGCGAGATTTCCCGGAAGAAATATTTATTTATTTATTTAACGGGGCCGGAAGAAAATCTCAAGATCTTTTTTAATGCCGCTACTCTGGATTTATTCGACTTGGCCAATTGAAATTAAGTGTACGGCGTGCAATTAATTAAGGTGCGCGTGGGATATTCCGCGTTATTGCGTAGAATTCGACGGCGGATGGACGTTAGCGCGCCGCATTACCTTCGTAAAATAGCGTTATCAACCGTTTACTGTGCGCGCTCTCGTAGCTCATAGCCCGTGGCTCGTAGCTCGTGGGCGCGAGCCCAAAGGGCGAGTATTCGTAGTAGCGGCAAAAGGGTTTAATTGTTGATACATAAAGCATCCAGTGAGGTGCGTGTGCCGCAATAACCGAACGCGCGCGGTTTCACACAGCGCTCTATCGCCGGTAATATCCTGCGGCGTACACAAGATCGGAAAAACCATCGTGTTCATTTAGACACAAAATACGAAAGCATCGGAATCCGCAGTGAACTCATTATGATAATTTGTGCAATCGATTAATATCTAATTACAGCCCGGACGCCATCGCTGAGTACGGCAGGAATTATGTGTGTGTGTACGCGCGTCCGCAGCGGGATTACTCCGCGCGACATGTGTATTTCCGTAATTTCCCATCCTAATTACGATGATCGACTAATAAGGCTAACTAATCAAACGGACGCTTTCCAGTTACGCACGATCATTCGATTAGATTGCTCCTGAGTAAAAACTGATGTTCCATTTGGAACGTTCTTTGAACGTCGCGATGACCGATCAATCAGATGACTGATTATGCTAATTATCAGAGCACACTTCATAAAGCGGAACGGTACGTTTACTTGCCCGCGTATATTTTTCGTGTAATCGTTAGTCGGGATTTATACATTGATGCGCGATTTTTTGCGCGATTCCAGTTGTAAATAACATATTCCTTTTATATTTTCATTCAAACATTACAGTGTGGTTGTCACAAGTAATAAATTATTTGAAAGAAGTAATACTATGTTGGAAGAATATTAAGAAACTTATAATATTCAGAACTTCTTTGTTTCCGTGGGATAATATTTAATATATAAAGAAATAAATGTTTCATTTATCGAAAACCCAAACATTATCTCCCTTAAATAATATTGTTTCCCTATCAAACAACATGATTTACTTTAGCGAAACAATAATATTTTCATTCAAATAAAATAATATTTGATATATTAAATTATGTTATTTATATTAACACATTGAATGCCGCGCTAATTTTACGTGATTTTTCATTCACGCCGCGTATACCCACCCATAATCCACGATTCCAGCATTTATTACATATTTTTCTTATATATCTTTACAAGATATATCTCATAATATTTATGAGACTAGAAAAATAATTGTTATGAAGAGAAGAGATAACGTAAAATATATACGCAGCTATTAATATAGTTACGCAGCTTGAACGGCAAGTCCACCGGTGACCCACGCGTCTCTCAACGTGTTAAACAAACTCAAGTTAAACACATATAATAAATCCAAAGAAACTTTCCTCTGTATTTACACACATGGAAAAAATATTATAGTAAAAATTATCATAAAACTTTGTAATGCTGGATCATATCGGTATTATGACTGAAATTATTATATATGTGTAATTTTTAATGGTGTGTATATATATATATGAAATACATTCTAAAAATTACAACACGTTATTATAATTTCAGTCACAATTTCGGTATGGTCTAGCGTTGCAAAATTTTGCGGCAATTTTTACTACAATATTTTTCCTGTATACGCTACAGGCATGCCATTAAATATGACAACATTAAAAATATAACCCCGTTTATTAATCTAATTTCCTAATCTGATATTCGGTCAAACTATCATTCGACTTTGGCGATAACAGTCGCACATGTAAGCAACAGTCGCAAGCAAGCCGTAGCACACAGCCAATGGGATCCCCAATTGGTATTATAAGTAATATATTTCAAGACAATTTCGAATATTCTAATCAGAATTTATGCTGTATATGGGAAGATCTGAGAAAATTTCTATGAGGGTTCTTGAGAAAATCGAGGGTCTCTCATCGTTTCCTTTCATCATCTTTAGAACTCTGTACGAAATAGTTCAGAATTGTAATAACTCGCCGAATGAATTCAAACGCGAAAACTAGTTAAAAGGAGAAGGAAAAGAGAACTCTCGCTTGCCACGAAGAAGTCGGAATTAGAAGTCGGATCGAATTTCGCCGCGGTAACTGTAATATAATCGATTGCCAAATATTTATCGGCCGTTTGTCCGTGTGCGGAAATGTGCACGTGTAAATATTTTAGGATTGACTTTAGATAGAAACTACGCGGTCGGCGTATTTACGAAACGATTAGCGACAGTGGCTAGTGGACGCACTTTGGGAACGTCGTGTTGCGGCGCCACGCTATTCCGGACGGAAGAAATTGTCGAGCGAAAGGATTGGCTCCGGGACTAACAGTAAAAAAAAAGTAACGCAGAGCGCACTTTTGCTGGCGCTTAAATACGCGAGGAGAGCGAGAGAGCTGGTCGCGATTAATTGCTTCTATAAAGGATGAAGGCGTTCTTACGTTCCTTATCCCAACGCCGCTTCCAACGGGTATTTTCTTAGCGATTTTCATAACGATAGCGCGATTACAATTGTAACGTTAAAAAATTACTTATACAGGGTGTTTCATAGCATATGGGTGTAATTTCGGAAATGAATTCAAGACACCAAAATAACTTCTCGTGCCATTTTTGTGTCGTGAATGTATTTTTGACATTATGCCCATATATTATGAAACACCTTCGCACTATTATTATTTTCGAAATGTCACTTCTCGTCTCTCGTATTTCGTGGATCTACAAAAATGCACCTTTTATTGTTAAGTTCAATCTTGCCGTAATCAGCGAACTCAGACGAGGACATACACACAGCGGTCGCGCACGTCGTTCTTATTTTTAGAGCTGGACGAGACATGCGTTTCTAAGATAATAGCATTGACTCGGCGAAAATGGCGGGTGACAAATTGCATTCGCGGCGGAAATTCAAAAAGCTCGGTGACGTAACGAGTAACGTCGTTTCGTGACGATACGATCGCGGGTTTCGTATGAATGGACACTTGATGGTACCGGGTCCCGCCTGTAATCGGAACGCTCTTTAACTTTCACGCTCAATGAAGCGAAAGCCGCGAGAGGATCTCGCTCGCGATATATCCTCGCCGTAGTAGTAAACCGTTTAAAGTATTTACCCTCAGTCAGCCACGGGAACGGGATGTTTGCTCGTACATATGTATATGTAGCACGACGACGGGGGTTGTATATTCCGCGCATTCATCCTAGAATTCACGTAATTTTAAGCACGCCTAAGCGCGCGCTGAACGCCTCCGCGCTCGAGAGTGTCATTGATTTATAAAAAATGCGTTCATCTAATTTACCGCCTCACGCTCGGCCGAACGTTATTACAAGCGTGTATTTTACGCACACCGAGCTTTTCGAGAGAGAAAAAAAAGTAAAAATACCGCCTACGAATAGCATACAATCAACGAACCGCAGCGGCTCTCTCGCGGCAATGGCAATCCGTCAATACATATTTATTCAGGAAGCCGATTATGATTTTTATCGAAATTTCATGTATTTCTCCCTTTTTTCGGTTTAATGCAAATGGATCTCTCTCGTGATGAGAAAGAGATAAACGATTTCGCGTGATTTCATCTGAATTTCATTTGATGTGATAATTTCCGCAAATTTACACGTCAGAAAATCCTCCGGGGGATGATATTTAAACTGCGCTTTTTTTTTCTCGCTCCTCAAACGATTTCATTCACGGATTTACGGCGCCCTCGGATCCCGGCCCTTTTAATTATTTTCGCAGCCGCGTCGGGAGAGAACAGTCGTGTGTTTTACAGGTGAATTCGCGAATTCTCGCAGGGTATTTTTTAGCACGAGTGCGCTACTTGGAGCGGTAGGAGCATCATTGATTTATAGGTAGACTCGGCCGTCTGTTGCGGTGACCATAGACATTCCATCGGCGGGCTGAAAAGCTTATGATATAAGCGCGAATACATCAACAAGCGGCACGAGCGACGAGCCGAGTCCAGTAAGAGTCTACATAACCGATTTAATGGCGACAACGTTTTTTCAGCGGTCGTCGAGCTTGTTGTTTCGCGCGGAGGGAGTTCGTAGCGTCGCGCGTCCCTCCGTTTACACATGCCTCGCTTTAGAGGCGATCTCTCCGCATCGTAAATTTGATTAAACACGATCTTCCTTCGCGATCCTTTCGTGAACATTAGATTGGTTCAGAAAGAATTTCTTATTCTTTCTTTCTTTATGAAATTACTTTTTCACTCGAAATACCTCACGAGGGAACCTGATTTGATATTAATTATATTATGATTTGATATTAATTTTATTAATTAAAAGTGATAACTTCTTAGTTGAAATTCCAAGTTCTTCGTTTGTGTCAAGGAAGAAAAGTTGTATTTTAAGGGCGGACAGTAAAAGGAAGCTATCACGCTGTGAAAATGGATATCCCGCGTATAAATAACGCGTCAAGTCGTGACGTATAGGAATGTGATCGCAAAAACGGAGGGACAAACGCGAGAGTCGAAACTGCCGAAACGCTCGGCCGACCCGAGAAAACATCATCGAGATATTGTTTTCATAAAGGCAACACGGAGGCGGTCGGTTTGTCTTCTTGATCGAAAAGATACGGCAGCCTCTTAATAACAGAGGTCGAGCCGGTGGAACAGCCGAGGCTTACGTGTGGGTATCGAGAGAAATGGCGCCGTAGGCGCATCCAGCTCGCTTCAATGAAGATGAATATACACGAGATACGGTGTTTTCGCGTCATAGGTGATTTTTATTCCGATATATCGCGAAGTCGTGATTTTGAATCGGTTTAGTGTCGAACGAATCGAGTTATAAAATAAAAAAGAACGCTCCCGATGAACCAAGATTGAGATCGTTCTTAAAATTTTTTTCCGGAAAGAATTTTCCGGAAATTTGCCCAATAAATCTTTCCGAAGGAAATCTCAGATGGATTATCTCACTGCGCAGTGTGTGTAATAATAATAAAATAATAATCTCGCAGAATAACGTAACTGGGAAAGTGTTTGAAATTACATGTTATTATGGATGTCGCGAGAGAGTATTGTATAATTAACTACGACTAAATATACACATAAGGCATAGTATGTGACACTCGACGGTTCCGCGCAAGTTGGCACTTAATTCGAATCTAATTAACTGTATTAAGAGCAAAGTCTAACATCTAACAATGCGCGAAGATGACGATGAGAGTCTCCGAAGAAATTACGCGTACGACAATATTCCAGTTAAAGACGACGAGATGACTAAATTATTTTTACTGTAGCTTCGGGGAAAGCTTTCACGGACAGATTCGCGAATTTATCGATCATGTAAGACCGGTGCGTTGCCTTTTGTACGCGACGTGTTAAAAATACAACGCTAAATCGCGACACAGCTACACGCAGCTGCTTGTGAAATACGATATATAACCAGCGCTTAATCTTTGAACGCTGCTTACCCGAAGAGGAGAACAAAGGTGTAGCGTGGCTCGATATAAAAATGACGACGAACGGTACAAGCCTCGCTTTCAAAGACGACGATTTCTTCGATATAAAGCTTAACAAAATGTTACGCTTATATATTTTCTTTTCCAAACTACTTGCCGTTTTATAACTCAGCCGAGAAAGATCTCGGGAGTCTCTTTTCTTGTTTCATGAGAAATCCAGCGATATATATATTTACTCGTGAAACACCGTTTCTGGAACCAATGGAATACCGAGCGTGCGCTTGTCCGCCCCAAGTTCGCAGTTTTATCATAAAACTCGTAAGGCGTTCGGTGCGCACACCAATCGCCGTATACATGCCTCCTCGGCTTTACGCGCATAACAGCTGTGCGCACCGTGTGTATTCTCTCAGTTTGGCAAATCCCTCAAGCACTTAAAGTTAGATCACCGTAAGATTACGCGGAGAATGGAAATTTTCTTGCGCGGGCGATAATGGCGTTACTCGCACTTTGTGTTTGTCGCAGCGCGAAATTTACTTTCCGCAACAAGGTGACGCGCGAAAATACCCGACCGGCAATCGGCTGGTAAAACCAGAAAAGAGAATCTCTTTCGGTGTATGTAGTTTGTAATTTTCGCGAATCGATCGCGCGGCCCCTTCTTAAAGCCTCTCGCCGCCTGTGCTCTGAGTGGAAAATTTGGCGGACATCGCCGGCCAGATGTCCGGGCTTTCCACGGGGGTGAACTTTCATGATGAATTAATTTAATTCGCGCACGGCCGGCCTTTACGAAGCGGATTTTGATTAAGTGCCACGCAGAAGTGGCAGCTAATATATAAATGTCGGGCAAACGATACATCACTCCGGTGTGCGGAGACATCCATGACGAAGGTTTCCACCGAGACACGTGTATGCATCCATTTCGTTTATTCGTTTTTTGATGATATTAGTGTGACGTTACTTTAAGTTTCATTGGAAGTTGAGGTCGTCGCATGTCGTGACGTCTCTGCTGCAATAACTGCGAAAGAAGCGAAATAAATACGATATTACACGCAAAGAATAGTGGAAAATAACGAAAATCCATTTCTCTTTTTCTAATTTAACGATTTTCGCGGTAGACTGAATTAAATGCTGTGGTATACTTTGTCAAGGGAGAAATTCTTTGTCGCGACTACGATATGACTTTGTTGAGATCACACGATGGAGCGTTACAGTCGCATTTCCATATTGCGGCAGGATACGCCCATCGTCCACGGTGTGTAGAATTCTCAAAGCGACCGAAGCCGAAGGTAGACAACCACGATAACAATGGCAGCGATGACAGGAACGGGCGGGAAAAAGGACTTTCCTGAAACAAAGGCGCTTCATTGCGATGCGACTATATACGACGAAGGGTTGTCGAAATTCCGGTGCGTTAAAGAATTTCACCGCAGTGCGAGCGAGTGTGTTTGTAAAATAGCGTTATGCTCGTGTGTTAGCGAGTCCAGCGTATTCAATCTTCTAATCTTTCAAAGAAGAACAACAATTTGCCCGGAGCGTCGTTTGTGTGAAATTTTCACTCTCGTACGCAACTCGAATACCGTGTAATGTGTTATATAATCAACCTATCCTTTTCCCAGCAGTTTCATGTCAGCAGTTTTCTGCGAGAAACATTTTCATAATAATATAAGAATCAAAAAGCATTAAGAATATTAATATTTCTTGAATAACGGGAATTTAGATATAACTTTAAATACGTTTGCAAGATCACCCGTACTCGTGAAAGTTGAACTTCTCCGTCGTGCACATTTCGATCGTATATCCGTCGCGATAAAATAATTTCTGACGCGGTCGCAAATATCGAAGGGAAGGAATTCGCGAATTACGTGCATCGCGAACGATGAAAGGGGTGGAGACCTTCCCGAGGTGAGCGAAAATTTTGAAACAATATTTGCGATTCTCGAGAGGAAAAACAGACCGCCCGTTTGTCGGGCGTGCTACGAATCTTTGAGTGTTCCCGAGTGTTATCTCCTAATGGAGCGTTAAGTCGCAAATGCTTGAATTCACATAACGTCGCGCAAATCGCTTATCGATCGAACACTTGCGTGGTAGAGTTGGACTGGCTGACGTGTCGACGAGAGAAGTTGTGTTCCTTGAATCGAGAAGTTCGAAATTGTGCCACTCCCTTCGCGTGAAGAGCGTGTCAATTAAACCCGGTGTCACGCCAGACCAATCGCGACTGCACTTACGTGAGAGCTCGAGCTCGCCGATCGGGATGCATTGCTCGGGGCAACAATAACGACAAATAGTACGGTTCTTAATTATATTCCCGATTTTACTCGATTATTCTATTCCCTTTTCCATTAAAGTCTGGCAAACTTTCAAGGAGAGCTGAAGCGGCACTCCGGACTGAATGTTCTAGAGCGGCTAGAGGAACAAGCAACAATTCATTTTGCGCCCGCCTTACACACAAACAATGATTTCCCTGCCCTCTTTTGTCACCGAATGAGACGTTCTGTTTTCGGCGTGCTAAATCGAATTTCGCTCAGAGTAGTTTCCACTTATAAAGTACATATCACGAGTGGGAGATACACACGGGAGAAAGAGAGAGAGAGAGAGAGAGAGAGAGAGCAAATAGAAATTAATAAAATTTAAATTTGTTTCGCGTTATTCTCTGCTATACATTTCTTCTCCCTCTCCGTTCCCCTCTTTCCTTCTCTCTCTTACATCGTGGAACATTATTTCAGATAAATCGCCTTGTAACGTTTGATCAATTTTGACGAGGGGATGAACGCGGAAACTTCATGCTCATCCGTAGTTGGTATTTTATAGCGTTTACGGTCACTAGCTTGTGCGGAAGACACGGTAATGGAAACGGACGTCTGCGTCCGGCCGGCGGAGTGGATTTTTCGGAGGAAATTCCTCGCGGAATCTCTTCTTCGCCGTCGGGGAGTGACTCGAGAAGTTTTCTTTATACCTCGTACGGAAGAAGGGCGAGAACGATGAATTTAACGGCTATGCTCTCGGTATCCGATGAAACCGTAATGCTTTCTCCTGAGCATTGACGTTTCGTTAATTTCACACGGCTACTTTTGGAAACGCTGCTTCATAATTAACAACAATTGCTACTCCCCGCTCTGCGCACCGGCTCTGCTGCAGTTGCCACGGCGAAATAATTGAAACCGTAACGGGCTCGCGTAACATCAGCACAGCGTGTGATTATTATTAAAACGTTACTACTGCGACTCGGCAATAAGTCATGCGGAGTGCGTTTGCGTAACACCGTAACGCCGATTGCGTAACACCCTGTGCCCGCGACCGCGAACAGCTCTTGGAACACGTCTATGAGATTTTATAACAAGTGACGCCGGCTCGCCGTATAACTTCGGGTGAACTTCGGTTTTTTTTAATGAAACGCGGACATTTCCAGAACTTGCCGACATATCCGTGCCAGTCGCTGCCATTCGAGGAGAGAAGAAAGCGGAAGAAAAGAAATGTACGCGTGATATGATAGCACCGAAATCAGAATCTTATTAATCATGACGGAGCCGTAAAGCCGAGATAAGTCGTAAAGCGCCGGGGAGATGTCGAGACGTTACAAAATGCTTCCTTCCACTTTCCATAGCGCGCGCGCGTGCGAAATGACATCTCCGCCCCGGGACAAATACTCCCATAAAGCCGCCATGTATGCCCGTTCGCGTAGTCGTATTGACCCTCAAGCCGCTCATAAAAACGCGCTAAAACTGTTATTGGAGAGACCCGAAGAAAGGTTCTCGGATCTCTTCTCTCTCGCTCTCCTCTCGTCTCGTCTGTATATACCCTTTATAATCCGCGGATACATATGACGCGAATCTAATTTCTCCGATGCGGAGTGCTGGACGTCGTATTATTTTTGTAACGTATCACACGGTGAGATGCGAAACACGAACATTTTCATCGATAGATCCTTCACTCAGAGAAACCTATTCTTCGGAGAACGCACATCTCCCGGTAACGGATTGAGCCGTAAATATCGACCATTTCTCCCCTGCAAATTTATTTTCGTAACGAAATATTATTACATTCTTCTTTCCCGAAGACTGATCCACTACGCACGCGTCGTCATTAATAGTGATCCGTGATCTCGAAAAATACGGATTATCGACTCCGAAAGCGTTGAAAAACCAATATTTGCGATGAAAGTAATTTGTGATTCAACCCGATATTAATTTCTCCCGTGAGAATTGACTTGAATTCTAATATTCGATCGACTCTCTATTATAATATATTAAAGCCGACCTGGAATAAAGCCGGAAGTGCTAGGTGACCCTGTATAAACTCGTTCAGCGCTTGATAAGCACCGTTCCGTGAGAGTGAATATGCTAATGAGCTTCGCTATCTGGTCGCCGACTCGTCTTCCGCACGCGAGAAACGTCAATGTGGACACATGATTAACACAACGAAAGCGTCGCTCGATCGAACGGCATCGAACGTAATTATTAATTTCGTGGTTCGCTCGAGACTGCTTCGGACGGCATTTTTCAAATGCGCCGTTTGTGACCCGCTTCTTCGCGAATTATCACGTCGTGTAATGAATTTTACATAATAATTATACGTAATAATAACAATAATTTTACATAATAAGCGCACATAAATGTAATACTGCTCACTGATTAAAAACCCGTCGATCGATCTGTTGAAATAATTTACTTTCGCATTGAGATATTCCGATATATGTATCGCGTAATTATTCTTACGATACAAAGTATCAATGTTAACAGAAATGGAATATGTCAACGAGACTGCGAAATGCGTCTCCGTGTCGCAGATAGCATGACGGTGTCGGTTAACCCAGATCAGTTTGTCGATCGAGTTCGTCATTAGCACGGGCGTATTTACTCGCTCTTTTTCCACACGACAAGAGGAACATATCTATAGCTCGCTCGCGAAGAGGAACATATCTGTTGCTCTTCCCGCTATAGCTATAGAATTCTTCGATAACACCTAGACCCTACATTTCTTTAATGAAAATCCGATAGCGGACTTCTCGCGCGTCCGCTGATAATAAATAAAGGAAGATTCATTTTATAGAGATGACTATTTTATAGAGATGCTCTTTCTTTTATTTTGGAAATATAATGAAACGTGAAATTTTAGTCGCACTAACGCCATTCCGTGCCTACGATTAAAAGAGCGAAAAAGGGGGGAGGGGGAGGAGAGAAGAGAAAAGAAGAGAAGAGCGATTGCGATATTCCTTCGCAAGAATACGTTTATCATGATGGCGTTGCGCACGACGGACGCGGCCCAGTGTAAAGCTTTCGACGCGGATCCGTCAAACGGTGCAATCTGCCGTCGCGATAGCTCACGTAAATGCTCTTACCGCTCGATTTTCGTAGGATTAATAGCGTGTCCGCGGGCGAACGACAAACTTTTCCATTGTGCGTCACGCGATTGTTTCGCAAATCGCGTCTACGTTTTATTTTCGCCCCGTCGTTCGATACACGACGGGCGTTGTAGGGTAAGTGCACTGCGTATGCGACGTTCTAGTCATCCAACCGGTACCACCACCAACACGATAACTGCAAAACACATTTAAATGCATCTACAATGACGGCAAAGTTGCAACGGCGGAACAATGTATCACGCGGAATCGGTCCATTTGTGTTAGTCGCGTTATCGCGCGCGCGGAAACATTTCACGAAGACGACAGTGATGACGACACGTGCGTCGGCGGCGAGGCTTTCGTCGACGAAATCGCCGAGGCGATTTATCCGTCGTTCCGAACTCCGAACTCGATCAAATTTTTCAAACTAATAAAATAAGCTAAGTAAAACGGCATTACGATTAGAAGGAGGAAATAAAGTAAAAAAGTAAACGAAGAAAAATGTGATGATCTTCGACAACACGATAGACGAACCGTAAACTTCTGAATTATCTGCTTTAATGTAATTTTCCCGATACACGCGTGGTTTATGAAAAGAGAGGAAAACGTTAGTGATGATAAATTAAAAGAGATACGTGAAAGTAATTTGAACAGTTCTCGGAGATTTAGTGGCGCGCTTGCATTGCGAAGGAAAAATGCTTGAATTGCGAGCGAAAAATGCCCGGGCGATAAAAGATCAAAGGTGGTACCACCGTGGAAAATATTATTCATTATACATGATTAACCGGTGCTTTCGCACACGATGAAGTTGGCCGAAACAGCGAAACGCGATTATATCCGTGAGCTCGGCCGAAATTGTCCGATATCGTTCGGGATTCCATAAAGCCGGAGTAACGCACACGATACGCGATCAACGATCATTCGAATTTGGTCATGCGTGGCTCTTATCTACCGGGATTTTACAGCGCTACCATTTCGCGTGATATCGCACACGATACGTGAATAATAAAAAGAAAGTTGCAGCCACGGATGACGTAATTTGAAAACCGACTCCACCACGACCGGATCGATTTAAAGAATAATACTAACATAGGAAAAAATTGATAAAAGGAAAGGACAAGAGAGAGAAAGAAAAAGATAGATAAATGTTATTGCAGTTCTAAGATATACGTGAATATTCTGCGGGCACATACAAAAGAATTACGTATGAATTAAATTAGAAGCTATAAATTCACAATAGTTAATATAAAATGTCTAGCTTATGGTAGTGAAAAAGTAATTGAGAAAATAAAATTACAAAAATTAATGAAATGAATAAATAAAGAGAGAGAGAGAGAGAGAGAGAGACGCGAAAAGAAGTCCCAACGCCTAATTGTGTTTTTGCCAAGATAAGGCAGATTTCGAGTTAATCGGGGGTTACATTCGCGAGTTTCGACACGGTGATTCAACAACATTCCGTGCGAAGAGATTGATAGATATGACTACCCAGCGGTGAGCAAATATTTTTGGGCCGAACGAGGCACTCTCCTTCGCGTGGACGAACGAAAATAAAAGCCCCCGAAGGGACGGAAGCAAGAAAACGGACAACGTCGCGACTGGAAAGATCGAGCCGCTACAATTTCTGGGATCGAAACTCGATTATCGCGTTATTAGATTCACCGCGGCTGCGACGGCATTACCGGGGAGACAATTATCGAGAACGTATTTTCTAGGAAAATAAATTTTTATCGGAATAATGACATTAACGACGGGTGTATACTTAGCATACTCTCACGCTGCTTGCTACATAGATCTTTTGGTTTTTTTTTTCTGAATTGTGATTAGATTTATCTCGTTCTCGTCCCGTCCCGCCCGCGGTCTAAGTAAATCGGACGATAAATTCTACGAAATTACGTGGATTTATGGCTCGTGCGACTTCGCTCAAGGACAGCGAAGTGAGAACGACGGCGCCGGAGTCGTCTAATTCGCATTAATAGCAACCTAAGGAAATTAAAGGCGAAGTTTCAGCGTTCTGGGGACACTTAATTCGATGCGGTAACAGCTTCTCCTTTTCCGCTGATATATCTCTGATATTGCGTATATCATTAAAGTGCCGAAGTAATTCGTTTCAATCAGCAGAATGCTGTGTGTGTGTGTGTGTGTGTGTGTATAATTTAAAATATAAAAATAAAGAAAATTCCTTTCGTGTTTCCATCTTTTCTCTTTTCTTTTCTTTTATGCGACCAATAATAGTACAGATATTAGATCAAAATCAATCCATTCTGAGTTAGTCAACGTTGCGTGCTGTCCGATAGAAACGCAATTTGCAATTATGTGGACCATCGTGCTTCTACTAATATTAGTGTTTCGCATCACATGAGTATAATTATGGTGCGGCGTCACAAACGCTAATGCAAATCAATTTGACGTATCAATCGGTAGACTGAACTGTTGGCAAATAAATAATACCATTTTATAAATTCCACAAACGTAGAAAAGATTCGCGGGAAATACGAATTTTTTATTTAACAAACTATCCGGGATTCTTGTTGCATTCTTAACAAATGCATCATGCAAGAAAAAAGAGAGAGAATATAAATTCATTCCGAGATCGATTTTACATATAATACAATAATTCAGATTCGTACACGATGAGAGAGAGAAAGAGAGAGAGAGAGAAAGAGAGAGAAAGAGCGTCGTCCCTGATACATATTCCATATGTGCGTTGTGTCTTCTGCGGACGAATATAAAAGAGTGGATATGGAATAACGGCGCTGTGGCCGTCAATTATTTCAAACAGCGAATCCAATTATTCTACCCACACTACAAGGCATCGTCGTTCAAAGCCGGCCATGATTGCACCCGCAATAAAATGCTAATTGAATGAACGTCGTGAAAACAAACGCTCCACGAAATCTGCATGGATCAAGTGAAAATTTCAGCCGCACAACATTGGCCAACGAAAATCGCTGTACTCGGACTCGTTTAAGTACACAATTGACAAGTTTTATTTTTTCAAGTTAGCGAATGAAATAGATTATTTCTTGTTTGAATATCGATATAGAGAATGCACGGTGTTTGTATAACCGATAGCACATTTGTTAAATAATGACGAAGTATGAATATCGGTCCAAATTTTTTGACTTTGGTCTCTCCTTGTTCTCGATTAATTCGTCAAGTGTTCGTTAAGCGAATTCTCTAGTTCGCCACGCGAATTCGATCGCTGTAGACCGCTGAATGTTTCCCGGTTTTCCAATTTTCACATGGCATACTATTTTTTTTTTAAGTGTCAGGTGTCTACTACAACGAAGGAGCATTACTTTTTTTTTTTAAATCGCATTTGCAAAACTATTTGAAAATATTTTCTGAAAACACTTTTCCTTTTAATGATAAATTTAGTTTAAGCCTAAATCATTTTCTTAACCTGATACTATAAACATTTTATTCAGACTCTGTGTTTACAATTTCCACATTACGAGCTTAAAAATATTAATTAGAATGAAAATAACAAGGCGACAAAATCGAGCGGTCTCAGATACTAGAATGTGGCGAATTAAAGACTCGAAAATGTGGCTAGCAAAAATTAAAATCGGAAAACTTCTGTATAGAAGGCCAATCCTATTCCCTAGCCATAATAATACCGAAAGTTTGGAGTCGAGCGTGTCATGTCCAAATATTCGTGCCTCATGACTGTTGATTATTCGTGAAACGATATGCTCCAAAGCAGTTAAGATGCACAAATATTAAGAATTAATGCGTTTGTTTGGAAATTTCCTTAGGTAATGGGACTGCATTAATGAATCTTCCAGTACAAATAATAATAAATGATATACCTGGAAATATAAGATGTATCGCTGTCCTGCGTTCTCCGTCTCCTCGATCCTGCTGCTTCGCCATCGTATACCTTTGTAGCTGATATCGACGCTGACACTCGAGATATACTTCGAACGGATATATGCATATTAATGAACGCGATACCGACGAGAACGCGTGACGGAATAGAATATTGATATGAAATATGATTATTGCTAACACGTCGATATGCATGCTCTATAATACATGTATCGTTTGCCGGCTCGAAACATAAAGTAATACTCGGCGAACTATACGACGACGCGAGAGGATTAGTTTGACCGTTTTGAAGGTCTTGAATGTTTGGAGAATATTGATTGTCGTGATCACTCATTCGTGCGATAACAAGCGACGACGGTTGATGAGAGATGACGTAGCCTTTTTTTACTACTCCCGTGCGTCATGTACCTTTCCCCGGCCGAATGTTTATGTTCCGTAATTGAAATGACGTTACTAGCCGGTGAGTAACGTGTTTCCCATGGAGCATCTGTATCGATGTATTAGTTATAATTTTAGTCAGGTAGTTAAAATATTTTGTCCGCTTTTGTAATATTGAATCGGGCTGGCTTCAACATCAAATTAATTTTAACACGTGTTTCTTCGACTGAATTGTCATATTTACGTGAGAGTCAATGTTACGAGATAGTGTCCGGAATCTCACGAGGAAGTGCAATTGGACACTGAATGGGGAAGCGGAGGGGCTCAGCGCAAAAGACTTCATGGGGACGTGGCCAACGATATCACATTCTAAATGTATATATAAAGTTTCCAGATGCATATCAAATCATTTATTATACTGGATGTTTTTAATGTTAACGGTCATTTAACGAACTTATCGAGAATAAGGAGTTTCAAAGACAAATTTTGCCTTCACAAATTTTTGCTTTCACTTCTTCCTTTCCGTCCCTTTTGTATCTGCAAATTCCATCAATATTTTCAACTCCAATTAAAAAATAAGTAGATTATAAGAAAAGAAAATGTATCTATAATATGTTTCTTTATCTATTAATTATATTTATTTTGTAATCTTTATTAAATTATTTGCACGTAAATAACTTCCGAGGAAAATAGCGAAGATTTTATTTTTCGTCAAATGCTCCTAACAAATGAGGGCTCGAAGGAGGTCATCTGTGATCAGACGTGATGTGTCTGTGGAATTCGCGTTATACGCAATACTCCGGAAAATTGTTATATAATCTCACGGGGCCAAACAACGCACGTTGTTCTACTTAGAACCCGTTGCAGCTCTAAATTCATCGCCATAGCTCCGTGGGGCGCGCTGTTAAGTGCAAAACGGGCATTCTGTCCGCCTATATACTTATACTATGTACCCCGGCGAACGGTGGAATGTTCTTTGTGAATGTGAAGCTGAATAGTTTGTTAGTCGAGCACACGCTCGAACGCGGCAACTTTTCGCCGGTGTTCCGGAGGAGAGGGCCATTGTTTCGTTCCTCTCGCGTTTCACGAATCTTTAGCCACCCACTGATCTCGCACTCTCTCATTTTCTTCGTCTTGCTTTGCGTCTCATCTATGCGCATCGGGGCAAACTTTTCGTGTCTTAAGAGTCGCTCCGGAAAAATACAGGACCACGTGCGATAATTCGAGAACAATACAACGCGTATTGCTCCTCCAAGACTTCGTTAAATGTGGTTATACATGTAGAATATTGTTCGACCGTTTAAAAACATCGCGCAAATCGAGAAATTTCAATCTGGAAATTTGGTCCTGGAGAACGACGTGCGGTCGAGCTAGTTTCCCGTCGGATAAATATCAGAAACTGACAGATAGATCTCTCTCGTGGCAGGCTTCCCTTATCTTTATAACTTTTACGAGGCTTACGAGCCTTGGCGACCCGGAAACAGCGTGAATCACGTTGTACGTCCTTAGCTATAAAAGGCGGTTTCTCGTTATCCTAAATCAATAAAGCAGACAGTGGACAAAAAGAAACATGCAAGAAAAGAGAACATTGTACCGGAAAGACATTTCTGAAGTTTTTATCTTATTATAAAATATTATAAAATCTTATTATAAAATAAGACACGGAAGGCAACTCTTTTTATAAACTGCAGCTGTCGACAAAATTTGCGACTTTCGTTATTCGCCGAAGTATCCCGTTAAGTCAAACAGATGCTTCAAATGCGTATGTTCGATATCACGTTGCTCATATCCCCTTTTTGCATCTACCGCCTGAATTATTATATATTCAGGAAAGCCCGATATTTCCGAGTTAAATTCCGCCTCGTCGAGTTAGTAGAACTTTACAATGCGAGAGAAGACGCGAAACTCTGCCAGTTCCCTTGCGCGATTTCTATCTCAAGACAATTCTTGGTACTCAATCTATCGTTGAGATGTACGAGGCGGTGGCGGTGGAACTCCTCGTAATCAGGAACGTTTCTCTCTCCAGGGGTTTACTGCCCTTTAATCCGGCGACGTGTGCATGGCGAAGCGTATCCGTTGACATCGCCGTACGTAATTCTCCATTAAACGATGCTGGAGACAGTAGTCTCCAGCGGCAGAAAGCACGGGACAGTGAATACCGCAGTGAATTACGCGTTACACGGGAGATGCGTACGAATGTGACGTATTCGCACGATATACGACCGCATTCACATCCTCGTTTAACGTCTAATTTAACGCCGAATGTGACCACGTTCCGATACCGAGAGTTCCATCGGTCTGACTTATGGAAAGTACGTGTGTTCGCGTTTGGTATACGACGATTTTTACAATTGTAAGACTCGCTCGACTCGACCGTTACGATTGTTTATTACAATTACGTGATTACTTCTGTTTAGATGCAGCCTAAAGTAACGGTCCTGTGCACGCTGCTGGCGTTCGTAATTGTCATCGCGGTTTCAAGCCTCACAGTGGACGCGATACCGCATAGGTAAAGAAAATTCTATTCAGCGAGATTGAACGAGGGATCAACAAGAGAGGAAAGCAAGGGGGACTAGTGGTCGCAAATATTATAAGTGTAAACGAAACGCAGAGTCACGTATATGAAAGCCCCGTCAGCTTTCTTCCCTTTTTCCTCCCAATTTTTCTCTTTCTTTCTCATACGTTTGTGCCAATATAAATCCCGACATAATGTTAATAAAAAAAACTATCGATTTAAACTTTGCACGAGAGAGCCAGCGGTTTTCAATTACGTCATCGATTTAAGCGGTTACGGTTAAATATATGTATTTGCTGCGCGAATAAAACCACATGATTTTTCAAATAGAAATGTTCAAGTAGAATCTATTCTAGAAGCACGCTCGCGGTTGATTTCGATGTGTATGTGTGTGTCGTGTGTCCATATATATGTACTCACAATTAAATGAATATGTTGGACGAGAAAGAAAGTGCATCTGTTCGCGCGTCGAACAGTTTAACCCAGTTCCATTTGACGACGCGCCAAACCGATAGAAATGAATCCCGGTATACTGAAAGTGACTTGATCGCCGCCGAACGACGTTTCAAACAACGACGCCGACGTATAATTTCGAACTGCGTTCGGACGTTGTTCCATTAACGTCGTCCATATATTATTATATTTGTCGAGCGTCTCTTCCTCCTCGTCGCGCGCGCCTATTCAATTCAATTGCCGGCTTTTTCTTGTCCGTCTCACAAAGATTGCGAGTTCCGCGACCGATCGATCTCGCTGCCGCGGAAATTATATTTTCCACGTGTTCTCCGTGCTGCCGTGCAGCGAGAGTAAGAGAGAAAGAGAGACGCCCGTGCAAACTTTTCTTTGCAATCGTAATAATCGAACGATCCAATTTTACGCACAGCCATGAAAGTTACTGGGATCAGCAAGATGACATAGACCGGGACGAGTTCCTTGAGTTACTCTCTCGCCTTAGTCGCACCGTAATGAGCCATCCTGAGATGGAAAAGTAAGGAAACGTGATAACGATTATAACGTTAAAACGCATGATTTTGTTATAATAATCGTCGTGATACGTGCTACGTTATGAGTACGTGACAATCAGATCATATATATGCATATCGTATTCATTTCTCTGTTATTCCCAATATAATTATAATTATAATTTGAGTATAATTATGTCAATTATATTAAAACAATAATTTAGATAATTATATTGTATTTGTCAGTGAAAATGTTTGCTTCGATTTCTAAAATCAAATCTGACTTTGATCACATTCAATGGAAAAAGAATGTTTCCTCTTCCGAATAATCGTTGTCTTTGTCTATGATTCTTCCCGAAAGTTCTGAAGAGACTAGTTCATCTCTATCATAGAAGGAGCTAATTTACCGTCGACGAATACAGAAAATCGAAACGATATTTTCACCTGGCGCAATATCAATTTATTTTGAGCAAGAATCATGAGTTTGTTGATAGATGAATCTCGATCATATTCTTTTTCGTTTGCCGACCAAACAAGGTCTTCATGCGCTTTCTAAAACGGTCGAATTATATGTGTAACGGTGTAATAAAAAGTCGAATCGCACGTTCACAGCACCAAGCGAGGATTGGATTTAGGTATCAGTCGCGGATTCAGCGGTTCTCAAGCGGCGAAACATTTGATGGGACTCGCAGCAGCGAATTACGCCGGCGGTCCCGGACGGAGGCGTCGCTCGGAACAGGCGTAGATGGCAGACACAATCGCCGATGCAGAGATTACTAATCCGTAATATCACTTTCGACTCGACCCTATTACCACTTTGTCTTTACCTCGAGCTTGAAGCTGATGTGAAAATTCGCCGTTACCAGTGGTGTAACTAGGCGGGCGTTTGCGCGCTCGAGAGATATTCGACCATTAATTCCATTTAGACTTACACTGCAGGGGGAGTGTATATTGTAGTATACATCTTTGTCTCCTCGAATCGTAAATAATAAGCAAGCTCTCATCGCGCGAGCTCAAAGATTACGATTCTAATAAGTCGTTTAAATGTTGTTACACGCGTTACTAGTATCGATCGAGTTTTATCTATAATCTAATCTAATCTTCATCTCCCTCTCCCTCCCTCCCCCTCCCCCTGTAGCCTTTGCACTCGAAATTCTTCGCGCACCTCAGTTAACTAGTTACACCACTAATCGTGTCCGCTGAATTGCGTTCGCTGCTGAATTGTAAACTTTGTTCGAGACGTAAATATTTTTGTGGTGACGCTATTTGGAGAGGTGATCGATGGATCTCATGTAAGCTAAAGTTCATCTCACATGGAAATATATACGTTTCAATCGGCATGAGTTTTGGAATATTAAAGAGACAGATCATTTTAATTGCGCGCAGACCCAGCCGGAGAACACAGTTGTATCAATTAATAAATGACATGCCATAAAGAATGTCACAGATTGATTTAGATCGAGCCCAGCTGCGGCTTACTCACACACACAACCGTATCGTCAAAATCGGAATTTCGCAATAATTTTGTGGATTAACGTAAGTCGGGTATAATTGGCTTTCGCAATTGAAATTCTGCGCCTTTTGTTATCCGACCAACGAGAAAAAAATTCACAACCACGGAACGGTGAGAAACGTTTCTAAGTATGTCACTGTTGCGTCTACTGTCAAAATTGATCTTCCATCTGAATTACGTTGCGCGCGCGAATCCTGTGCAGGGATTAGCAACTTTATCCATCCCACGAGATAAATGAAGAGGATATGGACGCGGCGTTTCGCTGATACGACGGGCTTCTACAAGTCGTATGCGAATCGATGACGCTCCACTTCCGGACTGGATTTATTCCATCAGTCATTACTATCTGCAATTGAAATCGTATACATACTAGCTCGTCCTACGTTTCCCCGAGCGAATTGAGCGGCAGAGTTTTCTCTCCCTAATCCCTTACGCTCGCGGAATAATTTTTTTTATGCTCTAAAAACGCTCGCTTCGTTATACTTTTATATTTCGACGTATTGTACGATCACCGTTCGCTCCCGTTCCCAATCTCGTCCCCTTCTCCTCCTCTTTTCCGATTTTCTTAGTGAATCTTGTAAAAAAAAAGAATCGTTGTACTTAATATACGATAATTGTATAATCGGTGTTGCCGCTCGTTAGGTCAGGCATGCTTAAAATTCCTCGTCACGTCGACGAGTACGACTTGCGAATTTCTCGTCTCGTCGACAAGAAAGATCGTAATTTCGCGCGTTGTGAATTAGAATAGCGCGAGGAATATCGTATACTGGTTTCGAACGATCGTGTATTCCTATTTTCTTTCCTTTCTTTTCTTTTATTTCAAAAATAGAAAGCTCCTCACAAAGCTTATCGCTTGAAACTGGTTTTGAGAATTCTATTACTTTAGATCACCTGGTTTTACTGACTTCGACGTCTCATCTCTAAGCCTGTAATACGTTACTTGCATAGAAAACTAAAAATACCGTGTAAAAGTGCGACGTAGAATTAGTGAGATTTTTCGGCTTTTTTCGTGTTACAGATTATCTCGTTAGATTTAGTCCGTAAACATCAGGAGTGCGCAACGTCCTACTTTAATTCGTCTCGAGATTCAAGCAAGCTGCGAAGCGATACATGTTATATTGGTTACATTTTTTTTTTACATATTCGCGCATCACTGCATCGCGGAGACACTGTAGACAAACAATAAATCGTAAAAGCACCATACACGCCACTTACCACTTTTTCAATTTAACCCGATTAATTAATTAAAATGATACAGCGTTCTTTGTAATCCCAAACACCGCGAACGAACTGGCCGCATCGATATCATCGATGTGGAACGAATTCTATACGCAGTGAGAGCTGATTTATTTTAGTTTTAAGCCAAGTACGACCCACTTCAATATCTCACTATCTCAGTTGCGCATTCCTGTCCACAGGTGGTAACCAAAGTACGCGACAAGTGTTGATAATACATTTCTCATTATAACTAAGATGATAACGCGCGATATAATAAAAGAAACTCGAAGCAACGACACGTTAAGCTGAGTAAACCAAGCGAGATTCCATTTTTTTTGAAAGATTCAGATAATCGGAAGTTTCTATATATCCCATATATTTTAAATATTGTCTTAGAAATAATACACAGCGATAATTAATTTAAATACGATTGTGATTGAGTGCCAAGGTTCAGTTCAATTGTCTTCTTATTCAAGAAACACGTACGTTTCGAAACGAAAATGCACGGCCTGTAAAATAATATATTAGCTAATAAATAGTTTAACAGCTGCAAATGAGCGAAATGACATTTATTCTAACATTTCGCCTGGTATACGACTTAACAGCATATTGCTTCGAATCTTCATACGATAATCGTATCGTCCGACGGACGGAGGTGCGAATTTTATTTCCTCATAAAATTATTTAATACTTTACAGATGTATATACGAATGTCCACGGACGAAGCGACTCGTTTGATTGTGATCGCAAAGTCCTGTTTGGTTATCACCTATAATCAAAGCGAAGCGCGTGAAGTCGAGACCTGTCGTTTCTGTGTATTATAAAGAGATTTATTGCCTCTAGTGGAAACTGATCGTAAATAAAAGTTACCTACTTTAACCCAGCCATACGCGAACGTTATTTATTCCAACAGTGCTTATATAACGCGTGCTCTCGCGTTTAACGTTAAAACGCTCTACTTGTCGCTGAATATTTGGAAAAGCGACACGACACGGTTTTTCCACAATAGACTGAAACTTAACCGGTTCAAATTATAAAAATATAATCCCATGAGATATCTCTTGTCGAGTCTGTCATGGTTGAACGTCTATCGTTTTTGGAGCACGCCCGAAATAATATTTCATGCACACGGTCATTCACGGACAATTATCAATAGTGTCAAACTAATCGACTCAATGGTATCACTCGGTATTAACGGTATCACTCGTGTGATTTCACGTTGATCTAATTTGAGATATTGCGTGATTTTTGAGTATGATCGCTTTGTACAAATAATTGGAAAAAATTAACTCATTATTGTAAGGAAAATATTAATTTTTTTTCGTGCCTCCTGTGGAGGTCACGCTAGAGGAAAGTTGCGAGATAAAGTCAAAATCTTTCTATGGCGGAGTTTATGCAAAAGAAACATACATATACACCCATAGATAAAACGACCAATAAACACACAAGAGGCGGGAGGGGGAGAGGGAAATGGGGGGGAAAGAGAGAGAGAGAGACCGACCTCAGATGACCTGTACGCCGACAGTGTGCGTGAAAGAGCGTAACGCGCATCGCCATTCTACTCACACATAATTTCCTAGTCGAGAATCGATAATATTATTGGATTCGCGAACTTGTGAATTGTGTAGTTATAAAGCGTGTTTCAGTTCATGCAATTTTGCGATGTATGTGTGTACATCACGTGCGTTTTGTATCTCCTACTCCGCACAAGCTGCACCGACGTCATCGGCATCGACGTGTTCAACAGTAAACAGTTTGTAGTGCAGCATCGTAGCAGACGGACGCATGGTCGATGTAACAGAGAGACATAACATACGTAAATATGTGAAGGTTATCGTAGTTAGATAGTCGAACTGTAATCATGCAGTTTAGGAACTTATATTTATCTTACATGAAAATTGGATATATTTAACGATAAATGTGCGCTCAGAATATGAACAATGGTTTTGTTATAGTTTAAAAAGAATTTCGTCTCTTCAAACGTATTAAATGTCGAAAATATCAAGTCGAGTCGTGAATAATTTACAATGAATATAGCAAATGTTTGATTTTCTTTTTCTTACAAATAAAATGCGATATAGTGATAATTTCTTGATATTTGTATCAAGCTAAGAGGTTTCGCGAGACACTCCAGCTATTGATAATGATTCATACACAAATCTTGTATCATAAACGATGTTTATTATTTGATTAACTATTATAACTATATTTACTAATGGACTTACTATTTGAATCGGTTGTTTCTGACTTGATTACGATATGTAAATGTAAGATTACTTAATAAATTTATTATTCTTTTCATTTCTAATCAATAACACGGATAATAGTTTTGAATTAATCAAACAAAATACATAAAATGGCCAATAAGAACCAGCGGACAAGTGTATTAGTGCAATTCGCCGATTAAATAAGTTTGAGCGTGTTAAAAGAACATTCGTAATTAAAATTAATTTAATTTTTCATTTCTTTTCGATTTTTTCTCACTTTCCATTTTAAAGTTTGGGACTTGTTTACATTTTTTTTAATTTAGACGTGACTTTTCCAATCCTCCCCTCCATCTCAACACTCGATCATTTTCATTTTATTTATTTAATTCTTTTTATATATTTATTATTATTTATTTTAACATGTAGATCAGAAACTATTTTAATATGATTTATAACGATATTTAATACGTATTATTTATTTTTATTTATTATCTTGAAATATTGAATATTATCGGATATGGCAATGATAGATATGCACATGTATATTCATTGTTGACATCATTAAGAAATAGATGTTCAATTTTTTATTGACGCATGGAACGTCAAATGATAACACAGCTGACAACAAACAGACATAATAATCAAATAAAATATTTGAAAAGTTCATTGTTGTATTATGATGTCAATAGACACACGGAAAAAATTAGTTTTAACCAATGATAGATATTTTCATGTATAAATAAGAATATTATAATCTCCTTAGAAAATTTTTAGTCGTAATTTGATTGAATTTGTATTGATTCAAATATTATTTATAATCAATTCAAGATTAAAAATCTTCTAAAAATATTCTTGCTTATTCAAGGTGTCTCAACATAAGGAGAACATCTAAATATTTTCTTTATTTTTAATAATATGAGAAATATTTAAAGCACAGTTTGAATGGTTTTGAAGGAAGAATACCGTGGAAGGAAAACGTTTTCACTGTTATTTCTTTAGGCTTTTTTTACCCATATTTAGGCTTCTATATTTAGGCTTCAAGATATTTAAGCGTTTTCTTTATGCTGGGACATCCTTTGTATGAGAATATCTATCATTGATTCAAGAATATTTTTTCTGTGTAAATAATATAAGTCAAACTAAATAAGTTATGAAATAAAACAAATAATATAAAATATTGATACAGATGATTAATTCACTTTTTATACTAATTATAAATACATCATATCTAATCATAGTATATTGTATCAAATTATGCATATATATGATTTATATATGATATATATATGTATAAATCATGGATCTGTTATTTAATAGGTTTCAAGGTCATAGTGGTAGACGTATATAATTTGGCAAATGGCTCGGCATTGGCTTAGGGAACAAATTCCGAATTTCTGGAAACGTGGCGCTTGCGTGAGCGTGATTACACTTGGAACTTTCATCGGGTGCACATTATTAGTGTATACAACGCTTGCGAATCCCACTCCTAAATATGGCACGTTGCAGCAAGTGGTATTTGTAAGTAATACGTTGACAACAATTATTCAGTCATATCGCATATTGCTTGCATATGACGTTAATCTATCGGGTCGAGTTATTATTAACTTCTGCCTTCCTTTCTGTCTTTGTAAACGTATTTTCATACGTTAAATGTTTCACAGTAGAATCGAACAATGTATACGTCACTATTGACAATGGCTTACGTTTCCATCTAATAGACAATTTCATCGATTCTTTTGGCACAGAAAAATATACACATATATGTTATTTTTATGAGAAATATGTTGACTTTTCGTTGATACGGCCCACACGATATTTTTTTTATTCATGGCGAGATTATATATTTAATATAAAAAAGACTGTTGAAAGACTTTAAGTTAGTCGAAAGTTTAATAAGTAAGGAGAAGCGCGATGAACTCATATTTTTTTTCATACGTTAATAATATTTGTTTTTGGCAGCTATTTCGCCACGGTGACCGAAACCCCACGGAGACTTACCCTAAGGATCCTTATATAAATTACACTTGGCCCAGTGGCTGGGGTGCCTTAACCAAGGTTCGAATGACATACGCAAATACCTTTAAAAATATCTCTTGTATACCAAGTATCTCAGTAAATCTCGAACCAACCGAACCAAGAAAGATAATACCGATACAATCAAGAAATACAATACGATTCACAGAATATATCTTGAGATGAGTATATATATGTATATGTGCTCAGAAAAAATACTAGATTATAAATAATTAATCTGATTCCTTATTCCATAGCAAATTTTACTCGTAAGTAAAATATTTTCTTAGTAAATTATTCAAGTAAAATATATTCACTTGATCCAAGTAAAATTTATATTTAATCCAAGCAAAAATTCGTTAAGGAATATTGGAATAATTATTTATTTGAATCTAGCACTTTTTTCTGTGTGTTTCGATTCTCATCGTACCATTGCGCACAAGGAGTATCGTTCGTAAGACGCGCAATTGAGCACAAATAATGAAGTACCGTGTATCATCGAAATTTGCTTTCAGAAAGGAATGCTGCAGCTATATAACTTGGGTCGATGGATTCGCCAGGAATACGGCGCGATAATCGGTAACAAATACGAAAGCGTAAACACGAGTGTGCGTAGCACTTATGCCGATCGGTGTATTATGTCGGCACAAACGCTTCTCGCGGGATTGTTCCTACCGAGTCCTGAGGACATATTTGTACCCGGCTTGGAATGGACACCTGTACCTGTGCACGCGATACCGCGTGAAGTTGACAAGGTAATTCACGGTTAGATTTGCAAATTAAGCAAGTGGTAGTTTATATTAATGTATCTCGTACTCTAGCTAGAGCTCTAGAGCTCTATTTTCCTAACTCGTTCTCGAGGCTCATATATAAAAATACTATTGACTTTAAATTTAGCTATTCGTTATCATTCCACTCATATACGACTACAAGAAAGTGAGCAAAGGAGATATTTCCCGCCTTATCTTTGAGATAAGCATGAAATTGTAAACCAACACGAAATATCTCGTAAACTAACACGATATATCAAGAGACGCAAGTTATCTTTAGTTAAAAATATTTTTTCCAATAATTTTATTGTTTGTAAAGAAGAAACACGATCTTTGTTATTGTTATTCAAACCCGAAAGAAGTTTCAAGCCAGCATTCATAGTCTTTTATTATTTTATAAAGAATTGTATATTCGTGAAGTTCTGGTTATTTATGAACCTATAATTATTTTAATTATATACAAGAAAAAATATTGCAAAAAACCGAATGACGACTCGTGAATACAAATCTGTTATTAATTAAAATTCTAAAAATCATAAATAATTTAAATCATGAACTACCGGTCTAAAATAGCAAAAAACGGGTACAAGAAAATATTTGTCTTTCAGAATAACGATATTTTTACAGTTGATAGCAGTAAAAGCACCATGCCCACGACTAGCGGAAGCTTTGAAGAAGGCCTATCAGGAAGAGGAGAAAAGATCGGGTGAGGCAATGGCCGATTATTACAAAGGATTGACAGAACACACCGGACAGAACATGACCACGATCACCGACGTCGAGTTTCTTTACAATACCCTCGAGATCGAAGATAAACATGGATTACAACTTCCGATATGGACGCAGAAATATTATAACAACGAGATGCGCGAAATAGCTGCTCGCAGTTTGGCGATTTTCACCGACAACATTATTCAGAAACGTCTTCAGGGAGGTATAACTGTAACATTTATGAAATGACGATCCAATTTGAAAAATATATTTTTGTTGATATTTACGCGATATCAACGAAAATATATTTTTTAAATTGTATCGCGAGATCTTATTTGGAAATGTCACAGAACTATCCTGATATCTATAGGTCCGCTGGTAAAAGAGATTCTGCAACATATGGAGGAGACTAAGATTGGCCCGCAACCGAAACGTGCTTACTTTTATTCCGCTCACGACATAACTATCGTCAACACGATGAGAACAATGGGATTTACGAGTAAACTTCTCAAACCGGATTACGGGGCAGCGCTCATTTTAGAATTGCATCTCGCCGATAATGGAAATCAAGAAGTGAAGGTAGATTTATTGAATAACATTATTGTTTAAATTTACGATACAAATATGGACAAATTTTATAATTGAAGAAGTGTTCGATTGCTTTGACTGATACATGTGACTCAAGGAACGTGTGGAATTATGAAATATTAGTTACACACATCGTAACGGATTATGATAAATCGAGATACCTTCGTACCACAACTAATATTAGTGTAATTATGACCATCTAATAGCTTCAATAATACTATTTTGTATGATTTTATTGCAGATTCTATATTTGAAGAATACGGAAACAAAAGTCGCAGAATTCCTGGAAATTCCTAATTGTGCGAGTCCTTGTTTATTGCAAAACCTGAAGCAAGCGTGGAGCGAAGTGATCCCGGATAACTGGGATGCGGAATGCAAAACATAAAAAACATAAAAAAACTTCATGTTTTATGTATGAAATTTACGATATATTGAAATTATTATGTGTACTTTATCTACGCGCGTATATGCTAGCGTATATAAGGACGGTTCAAATATAAACGACTGTCTTTTTTAATTTTTTTTTCGAAAAATAATTTTAACAATATACGCTGAGAAAAAGATTTTTTCAAATTTAATAAATTTTATTGTATCCAAACAAATTTCATCATTGACATGTTCCAAAGAAACTAATGTTTCGATTAATAATTACGATTGTTAGACTTTTCAACAAATATGTATCCCTATTTTAAATTAAAATCGTTTCTTTGAAACGAAAGATAATTTTCTTACAAAGAAATTATTTGTTTCATTTTACATATTTATTGTAACCAAATAATATTTTATTTATTTATATATTAATATATTGATAATATTTTATTTGGTTAAAAAATATTTCAAATAATAGCATTCTTTTTGTTAAATGAGTTTTCTTGAATAAGACAAATAAAATTCTTATTCAAATAATATTTCGTATATGTTGTTTCTATGAAACAAATTTTAGTCAAATGAATAGAAATACTAAATCTAAAGAAACTTTTTTCTTTGCGTATTTATCCTCCATTTACCTGTATGTGTATACCTGTTATTTCTCTATATATATATATATTTTTCTCTAATTTTCACATACTTTTCGCAGCGTTCGGGTAGCTTAAAAATGCTATTTTTATAAAAAGAAACTGATTGCTTCAACTGCGCACAAATGTTTCAACTTCTTTATCATCCATCACAGTAGTGTATTCCAAATTTGTTGCGCATGATCTCGCTTTCTTCCTTGTATCAATTTAAAAACTGTGGCAAAACACCGCTGTACCGCTGTTTTTGATTCGTCGTCAGCAAGCGAGGGATCTAACGAGATTTAATCTTGCAGTAACTGAATTTTTTTGTAAATAATCATATTGACATTACCAATATTTATTTCTATCAGACTGACCAATTCATATATGTGAACGATCTTATCTTCATTAATTAGCCTCTGAAAGCGTTGAATGTTTCCTGCGGGTTGCACTAATGCGAAGACGCTGGAATATATTATTTTGACGCGAGGATATATTATTTTGATATGTTATTTTGATATATTATTTTGATATTATTTGTTACTTCATTACTTAACATATTCATTTTGTGTTAAATTGAATACAAATTTTTTTACTCTATAGCGTTCTTTTCAATAATTTTGGTTAATTTAAACTTTTAGATGTTTAAATGCATTTCTCATTGAATTGGATGTTTACTGTACCGCTTGAAAATATTTTTTGCACTTGGGACTCTACTGTTGAGGATTTAATAGCATCATGATATGTTGCTTTTTTAGAATCGGAATCACGCTTGATAGAAAACATCTACTATCAGACCAACCACGTTATGTTATTCCGATAAATGATAGAAAAACGTAAGTTGTGTCTTTTTTACATTGAGAATGGTGCAAAGAGTGGCCGAAACGTTTATAAATGTAATTTTGTTGTAAATGCATTTAAATTATTTGTTAACTCTTTAAGTTGGACATTTTTTTACTTAACTTTAACTTGTACACTTATTTTCAATAGCTTTTATAGACTTGAGTATTTAACTTCGATTTTTAAGTATGAAAGTTGAAAATAGATGAATGCAAAAGTGACGCGTCACCACGTATATATAATTCAAATATCTGTGATAAGATTCGGATTTAGAAGCGAGATAATTAAGTTCCATGGAAACTGAATTGTTAAGTATTACGCGTTACCGATATATTAATTACGAGATTTTATAAGGCAAATGCCAGTAAATACTTGCGTCGAATATATAGTCGCGCTCATATTCGAGTGACTGTGTTAAAGACAAAGCGAATGAGTAAGTGAGATGATGACTGTGTAATATCCGTATGACAACATGTGATAATGGAATAGATTCGGATCGCGTAAGAGAGTAGATGACAGTAATTTTGATCCATCTAGCGACAAGCGACCTAGATAGCGTAATTCAATATTATTGTAGATATTTTTCATTTCTGGGCATCATGGCGACTTCATATAATTTTATTAAAATTTTATTCAAATGATAGTTTTTAATTAATGGTAATTTTTAAATGAATGCTATTTAAAGAGGTCGAATTAGCATACAATGCTAATTTGCATTCGCTAATAACATTACAATAGTATGCGTTTGAGTTAAAAGCGGAACTACAAAATATTATTGAAGTTATGTAGGTTGTTTTTTTCTACCTCATTAAAGATTTTATTACACGACTGTGTATATCTAAATTTACCTCTATTTTGAATAAAACTCATTTATATCAATCATTTTTATAAATAGTATTTCATTGGTCTTTTTCAAAGCATAAATATTTTTGAAAGATGAATAACACTTCATATAAAAAATTATTTGTATGTCGTTTATATATATTGCTTTATTATTATTAGTCCTTTTAATAGTATTTAATAAGAAATTATATCGTGTTAAATAAGTATTTGAACTTATACTATATATTATCGTTATTTTGAATATACTTATTTGATATAAAAGAATTTTTTAATACTACTAAAAGAATGATTACAAATAAAATAACATGCTTAAACAAGAAACAAATAATTTTTTTACACGAATTGTTATTCCAATGTTTTAAAAATATCTGTAGCCCTGAGGGAAACTGGTGAAATATTATTTATATAAATTATTTATACAAATAAGTTCTATTCAAAATAGTGATAAATTCAGATATTATGCTTAGCAGTGTAATAAAGCAGTGTAATAACCTTTAGTGAGGTAGGAGAAAAATAGTTTACGGGTCTTCGGCGCGAGTTTCGCATTAAACGCTTTCGTTTAAGGGCGGGGGTATTTTTTCATCCATACAATATTTCTAATTTTTGATTTTCAAAGGTAGCGGTGGTAGTATAGCATTAAATTGTAAGGCGAGTACCGATCCTTTTGAAAAGAAGACTATTTTATATAATATTAGCGCTCTTGTATGATATTAGCGGTGTCAGCTGTGTCAACTTAATCAAATTTGGGTGTTTCAGTTATGTTCGTGACACAGTTCTGGTATCGTTCTCTTACTTTTGCTCCTGAATGCTTATCAAGCAATAAGATATTCGGTTTTGTAACGAATGTAACCGAAGATATCCGAAGTTTACGCGATATACAGTCTAGCGTAACAATTTCTCGAAGACGCTGAAAAGGATCGCGTTTTGAGTTTTTGACTATCGAATATTGTTTTGTTTTTGATCAAAGTTAAATTTTGTTGAATTTTGGCTAGACCATCAGTTCTAGCCAAAGCCAACATTTATTTTCTTAGAAAATATAAGAAATCCTTAGAGATTTAAAAATACTCCAACAATTTCAGCAGAGACAGTGGGTTAAAAATCAATCCGATTTAGCAATTCATCTGCCTAGTATCCTGAATGTTTCAAAGTGCGCCACTGAGTATTCACATAAGCCCCACCTTCTAACAATTAACACCGCGCGATTCTCCTTCCTCGCGCGCGCGCCTACCGTCTTCTGTGCGTGATGTCATTATTATTAATGCGAGATTCCGAAATAAATCGAAGTGGATGTCTCTCACCTGAGATACGTTCGCCGACTAATTCGCCGCGATACCAAACGACGAATTCCACCACCGCATACGAACGGAGGCATCCATGTGCGGACTACGTGTTACGATTACCGGCCAATTAAGCCGCATTGTTTCTCCGACTTCCTACATAGACAAAGCAATCTAGGAATGAAACTCGTCGAATTAATTAAGCTTGTAAAGAGAAATAAGACTCTTGTAAAGAGAAGTAAGACAATCTCAAGTCGCGCTTCACTCTAAAGACATGAACTGAAATGTTCATGAAACATCGGAAATAAATCCACAAAAGACGCAGCGCTAATACGGAGGCCAAATTAAATAAAGCGAAAGCTGTTCAGTGCTTCAGTGCATACAAAGAAGATCAAATATATAGAGATTGCAAAATCTTCAAGTCAAACATCAATAAGATCAATAATAGTAAAGAGGCTAATTCGATGATAAAGTAGTCAGTGTTAGTGCCGTTGATCGGTGGAATAGAATCATCAATAAGGGTAAGTATACGGACTTTAACATTCTACGTTCTATTCTTCTCAGTCCTATTACCTGTATCCATATTGCGCAGTGATCTCTCTCATATGCCCGTGGTGCGTACGTTGATATATAGATTTATGTAACCTACAGTTTAATGCCGGTTCCGAACGGCATATTAATTTTAGAAGTTCTCTTGGCAAAGATACTCTCGGTTGTCGTAGGTCTCGTCGCTTTTATCGAACCCCGGGACCGCTAGCACTGTAGACCAGTACGCCATCCTCGTGTTCCTACGTTTTATTACAAATAAATAAATAATAAAAAGGCTTGTACTTGAAACAATAATATATTTATTTAGTTAAACTCTTGATTAAACTAAATTCAAAATCCAAACAAACATAAAGTTTTAAATCGTTGTCCCAATTCGTTGTAATTTAACAGAAAAGAATATAATTCAAAATGCTCCTCTTGTCCTGTATATAGGGTAAATATGCGCATAGATGTTGGGCGAATGAGTTCACAATTTTAAGTGTGCAAATTGCATACAAAAATATTTATCTCTACGACTTCTCTTTATATGTAGGTTGAGCATTGTATATACCACCATTTTTAGCATATGATTGCATTCTACTCACTCATTTTCTAATGGTAATTTCTCAAAATTTTCATATCAGAGTAAATAATAATACTTCATCATCATCGCTCTTCGAGCGACATACGCGCATATACCGTCTTTTGAAATGATAATGACTAGATATTTTATAGACACCAACATTCCCGCACCTACCACATATATTATAGGCAATGTGTGCACTTACTCACTGCGTACTTAGACTGACTCAAAATTACAGATCCTTATAGAAAACCTTTAATTGAGCGAATAGATAAGATGCAAGGAACAGTTGTATTCGGGAGTTTGATCGGGTGCATGCTAATAACGTATGTAAAATTCGCAAATCCTATTCCAAAGCATGACACGTTGCAGCAAGTGATATTCGTAAGTAATGCATTGACAGCAATTATTCCATTACATTACATATTGCTTGTACATTATGTTGGTCTATCAGGTTAAGTCATATATAATTTCTGTCTTCTTTCCTCCCTTTCTAAAAGTACGCGAAACGTTTCACAGTAGAGTATGATTTTATAATATATACGTTACTATTAATGATAGCTTACATTTTTATCTAATGAATAGTTTCATCGATTCTTCTCGCATGCCTTCAGAAATAGGTACACATTCTTCGAAGACACTGTTTTTCGTGGAAAGTTGTTTACGACTGACCCACACGATATTATTATTATACATATATCTAGTATGAAATTCGCTAGAAGATTTCGAGCTAGTTGAAAATTTTATAAATAAGAGGCAGCATGATGAAATTGCGCCACTTATAGATTTCCTCATATGAAAATAATCTTATCTTTTTGGTAGATAATTCGTCACGGTGACCGAAATCCCGTGGAGACTTACCCTAAAGACCCTCACATAAATTACACTTGGCCCGGTGGCCGGGGTGCTTTAACCAAGGTTCGAGTGACATACGTAATAAATACCGTTAAAAATCGATATCCCATGTATACAAAGTGTCCAAGTAAATTGAAATAGAATCAGCTAAGGAAAATATAATCAAGAAACACAATATATATAACATATATCTTGAGATAAGATATATGTGTACAAGTATTTCGACATTCGTTGTAAATTAAATCTCGTCATTGTGCACAAAGGGTATCATTTGTAAGACGTACAACTGAGCACGAATAATGAAGTATCGTGCATTATCGACTGCAAAATTTGTTTTCAGAAAGGAATGCTGCGAATTTACACTATAGCTCAATGGATTCGCGAGGATTACGGCGCGATAATCGGTAAGAAATACGAAAATGTAAACACGATGGTATTTAGCGCCTCTGAAGAACGGAGCATTATGTCGGCACAAACGTTACTCGCGGGGTTGTTCTCACCAAGTCACGAGGATATATTCACGCCCAATTTGAAATGGACGCCTATTCCTGTGTATACGATACCAAAGGAAATAGACAAGGTACGATCACCGGTTGGATTTTCAATTTAACAATCGCAAGGCGAAGACATAAGCATAAATGACAAGTAGTAGGCATGTGAAGAAAACTTTTTTTTTTCAAGACGATATTATTGTAGTTTTTATCAGTGAAAGCACCATGTCCGCAGCTGGAGGAGGCTTTGAAACAAGCCTTTCTAAAAGAGGAGAAAAGATCGAGCGCGAAGATGGCTGAATATTACAAGAAACTGACAAAATACACCGGAAAGAATATAAGCACGATCCTCGATGTCTCGTATCTTTACGATACTCTCCAGATCGAAGAGCAACACGGACTAAAACTTCCCATCTGGACGCAAAATTTGTATAATAATGAGATGCGTGAAATGTCTATTCGCAGCTATAATCTTTTCACCGACGACATTATTCAAAAACGTCTTCGAGGAGGTTCGATAATAGTGTTATCTAAATGACGAGAAACATTCGCGATATCGCCGCGAAGATGTATTTTTCACTTTGTATCGCGAGATCCTATTTGCTAATGCATATAAGCTAAATATCATAAAAATCTTCCGATATTTGCAGGTCCGTTGCTAAAGAAAATCTTACAACATATGGAAGAGACGAAGATTGGCCCGAAGCCGAGACGGGCATATTTTTATTTCGTTTCCGACATAACGATCATCAACGTAATGAGAACAATGGAATTTATGAATATAAGTAAACCAGATTTTGGAGCGACGCTCATTTTTGAGTTGCATTGCACCGATAACCAAAGTCAGGAAGTGAAGGTGGAATCATGATACTATTATAATGTTTAAGTTTACGAAGTAATTTATCGATCATATCAGCGACCGGGAAATGTTTTTATTACTTTCAGAATATTTCGCGTTATGAGATTATTGGTTACATTTCGTTATTCTGTATGTCTTTACAGATTAAAGCAAGTCTGAGTAATCCATGAAATATAATTACTAAAAATTACGCTTGATTAGCAACAGTATAATTACGAGAATTGTTCAGAAAGTATTCTGTAAAAATTCGAATTATAGCGATAGAGTATTGTGTGCATTTACATATTATTCTGTACTAATGCTATTTTTCCTGTTATTATTGCAGATTTTATATTTAAGTAGTACGGAAAAAAAAGTCGCATCTTTTATGGAAATTCCCAACTGTGCGAATCCTTGTTTATTGCAGAGCCTGAAGCAAACGTGGCACAAAGTGATCCCGGATAACTGGGATGCGGAATGTACAATATGAAAAATTTTGTAGTAATTTTTACTATAATATTTTCACCATGTATATATAGATGTTGTTGAAAGTAGCTTTTAAATAATACTGTCGATATAATAAAAGTGGCAACGCTTTTCTTTCGATGAATTTCGCAATACAATTCGCGTTCAATAAAAAAATGTATTTCTTGAGAATTATTAAAAAACAAATTCTCCTATTGGACATCGAAAGTGTTGCGAAATTCATCAAAAAGTGTTGTAACTTTTATTGTACCAACTATACATACACATGATAGGTCTTATATAGGATCTGATCTTATCAAATGCCGATGATAAGGCATTTTATTAGCATTTTGTCAGATAACAGCTTTGATAACATTCTGTGCAAAAATCCGTATTATACGTATTCGTACACATGTATACGTACACTCATTGTATAAATCTCTGATACTGAAGAATAATATCAATTATTAAATTATTATTAAATTATTATAAATCTGGCATGTGGAATGTACAATATGAAAAACTATTAAATGTGTGTGCACTTAATGTGTGCGTGTGTGAGATTAACGACATATCACAATTTTTACATGTAAATAAAATACATGTAAAAATTGTAATATATCGTTAGTGTCACACACACTTAATAGTTTTTCATTTTATACATTCCGCATCCCAGATTTATAATAATTTAATAATAATTTAATAAGTGATATTAATCTTCAATACGTTGACACTTTTCACTAATTTTTATACACAAATCATGGAAATTACTATTTTTACTCTACACATCGAATCTCATAATTAAAAAATATTTAATATTCGATAAATATTAACGTATCGAAATGATAGCACGATTATCGGAGATTTACATAATGAAGTGTGTCAAATATGTATTTTCGCATAGAATGTCATCAAAGCTGTTATTTGACAATAAATGTTAATAAAAAGTTGCCATATCATTAGCATCTGGTAAGATCATATTTATATTTATATCTATAATATAAAAATCTATTGTAAAAATGAAAAATGAAAGTAATCCTATAAATACGATAAAAAATTTCTTCTAATAATAGTTCTAATTAATACGAACGTGGATATCTAAACAATCTTATGAACAACTTCATCATCGACGAACAATCGTGATTCTTCTCTCGTTATATTATACTTATAACACAACATTTAATCGCATAAGAAGCATTGCATGCGACACGTTGCGCACTCTGGTGGCGGGAATATCAAACGCGTGTACACTTGATGCGTCGATGGAATACTACTTAAATCAAGATAAAATTTAACAACTAACATTGAGATTCAAATTGGGTTAGAGAATAATTGGGGGGTATTGCTATTTCCGAGTAATTGTCTAAGTGTTCGTTAGAAATATCGGAATGGTTAACTCATATGATTATAAATTTTTAACTCATATGATTATAAATTTTATATTAATAGTATCGATTTTATAAGACTGGATAACAATAGATCGTGCAATTAATATTGCGTTATTATAATTAACAAGTTTCTTTTATCCCACACCAAATTTCACTCGACATTTCTCAAGATTTATTTATCGAAATTTTCACTTTACTTTTCACTTTACTTTAGTTCCCTCTCTTCACTTCAATATACTTTGAGTACTTACTTAACGATATCTTATTGTGACAAACTTGCTTCCGGTTCCCGATGATGATTCGAACACGAGATTCGGCGTCGACGAGTTGAGATGGTAAGAAACACAGAATGGTTCTACGAATTTGCACTGTCCGACATGATTCGTTCCACTACCGAACATTGTATCGTGAATCTTGACGATTACGATTCTCGAAATATAGATGCGCAACAACTTCACTCGCTACTCTCGACGATCCGTAATATGAGACTTTTGCTTGCAAGAGATATTGAACAATATTTGGCCGACACACGATATTTACTTTCGGCACTCCCGGCAGCACGAGATTCGTTGAGCGAGTCGAAAAAAGATAGCATTTCGAACTTCGAATAGCTGTATTATTTCACGGAATTTCATCGCGACGAACGCGTGGAACTCATTTCCGTCATTCCCAACATAATTTACGTGGAACTCACTTTAGGCGATTGAAATCTCAAGAAATACAGAACAGCTTGAACGTACCTGTACTACCGCGAATGAGCCATTCCGTAACTGAAAGTCACTGTGCTTAACTATTTGAAAGATGTCACGTGACTATGCCAAATTCACGATAATTTTGCGTTGTTTCCTGAGGGTCGATTGTGTATCTCAAAACGCGTAGTGAGAATTGCAAAATGAGCAAATTCACTAGATGTTGAGCAATGGAATTATAAATATTCTAATGAATTGCTCACTTTATAATTCTCGCTACGTTTCGAGATACACGATCGACTCCCTAAAGCATACGGCACCTTCAGACGACCAATAGGGAGAGACTTTCCGATTGCTGGACAAGAGATACGAAAACATGCCGGGAACAAAAATTTTGGGTTGCGTTCAGAAATATCTCACTGAAGGTAGAATAGCTTTTAATTGACCAATCGGTACAAAAAGAACAAAGATTTCTTTATCATAATTAATCAATTAAATGCCACTTTACCCTCAATGTAATGTTTCTAAATGCATACCAGAATTCAGAGTCCATTTGAACGCACCTGTTGAAACTGTGTTAGATGTTAAAATGATCGTGTGGTCATTGCCTTAATAAAAAATAACTATCATAAGAATTAAACGTGTGCACAGTCATTTTACGTTGTATGAGTTCTACACTTATCGTGTGGAAATAGAACGGACACGAACCAAACGATTTTACCGTTACAGCTGGAAAGAACGTTTAACCGAGGAAGTTCAGATGTACTTTCTCAGGTGACGCGTCGGAAAATGCCTCTCCTGAAATTCTTACGGGATGGCTGTTTTCATGTTTCTCTCTCTCTGCTTTTGCGTTTTCTTTCCTGAGGAAAAGTGACGCGACGGCCACCCTGTCGTGATATTTCTGAGAGGGCGCCAGCGTCCAACGAAACTTTTCAGCCAATCTAATTCTGCGTCAGCGTTCTTTAACAATATGTTGTCGATGATATAACCATCGCCAACGTATCATGTGTGGTGTTTCCATTGTTAGGTTAGAAAATACTTTTGCGACTGTGTTGACAAATAATTAGTTCTCGAGAAACTTTGACCTTGACAAGCTGTAAAACAGAAAATGTGTTCACTGAATGGTTACAGATGTAATAGTAATGATGATGAGATACCAAAAAATACGAAAGACTCATTAATGTAAGTATAGTTATGACAAGTAAAATAGAAGAAAACAGCATGTTAATGATTAGTTTTAACATATAAGCATTTACATATTCTCATTACTTCTGATAGAGATATCAAAGTATGCAGAAAATGCCGGATAAAAGATGTTGATGTTCTACTGCTCGGTCAGAATGGTTATTGTAATATGTGTTTTCTAACTGCCACAAATCATAAATTTAGAGCAGCACTTGGTAAATCCAAAATCATCCGTCATGGTGATTCAATACTAGTTGATCACTCAGGTGAATTGAATTCTACCGTACTTTTACACCTGATTAAAACTGGTATGAATGAGTCAACTCATAAGAAACTCATCTTCAAGACAACAGTTTTATATATAGATGGTAAGTATTATATAAATGAATAATTTTATATTATACTTAGTTTTGCAGAGAGGTTGCATAAAACTATCTTACTTCTCTGACATAGATGCTCTACCAAATGAAATAACAGATGAAGATAGAAATAGCCTACAATGTAAAATTGCTGAACAAACAAAGAATTTTGGATTTGCCTACTATATTGTATCACTGAGCCAAGTTTTAAACAAAGATGACACATTAGATATAAGACAATTCGATAATCAGCTGGTAAAGGACAACAATGATGAACAGCTACATGAGATATTGACCAATTTGCCAGACAATACTTCAAGAACAGACTTACTTGAACAATTACGTCGAAAATTGCTACTATCTGCAGCTCGGAAACTTAATTGCAACAAGGTGTTTGTAGCAGATTCTACTATGGACATTGCCACAAAAGTTCTTGGAAATATATGTTTAGGACGAGGTGCACAACTTTCTACACTTGCAACTTTTTGCGATACTCGATGCACAGATATCAAGATACTCAAACCGATGAGAGATTTTACACAGCAGGAAATGATGTATTATTCTCAGTGTCATTCGCTGAATCCTATTAAATCAAAAAAGATCAATGTGACAACACAGCCAGCAACTTCCATACAGGCTTTGACGTATAACTTCATTATGGGAATGGAGTCACAATTTTCCAGCACAATATCCACTATAATGCGCACGGCTGAGAAAGTAAGTGCGCGGAATAACAAGGACAATCAGGATATGGAAAATTGTGTTTTGTGCGATGCAAGTTTGGATTCTGTGTCTTCTGAAAACAATGTCACTGCTATGAAAGCAATAGAAGTTTCTAGTCTAGTATCTTCTAAATATTTCAACGCAAGGACTTCCGTTACTGATAAAGAAAACGAATCGTTTAGTGACAAGAAATCGGATCGAACGAGTCAATGTCTGTCGAATAATCAAAAGTGTTGTAACAATAATAGCAGTCAGTGTGGTTGCATGAACGGTAAAATGGGTCAGTTGACTACGGAAGATGTACAGAAATGTTTATGTTACAGTTGTCAATTGATATTTCGGAATTCAAATCTTTTAAGCAGATTGCCAGCATCGTTATTGTTCGCTGTTCAACAAAGATTGGCTTTAAAAAAAATGAAAGAGGATATTAGCGATTTTTTAATATAAATGAACAATAGAAATTAGTATTAACAGAAGAATATCATTTCCCAATTTAATATTATCTGATCAAATAGAAATGCTAAAACTACTAATATCTCTTTTTGTAATGTGAATAAATTCAGTATGACGAAAAGTTAATCATTTGCGAAGTTACTTTACCGAATTAAAAAAAAATACTGTCAATATTGAATTATTTGATTAGTATAGCTTTTCTTATTATTAGGAGAACAAAAAAATATAAGCTCTATTTTTATTTACCTATTTAAGTTGCTGGGACTTTCGCAAACTTTCGAAAATATATAAATATAACGGAGCTTTTTTCAGTATTTTCTGGAAATTACGGAAAATTTTGTACGTGATCTAATTTAGGTGATCTAATTTAGGTTCTCGCCTAACAAAGGAAAATACGTTCGATTGAGGCCGCTCGGTTTATTTACGCCATGTGTTACACGAGAATCAGGGGGTGAAATCCTTTCGGGAATTCTTTCTGAAATGTCCTCGCGTCTTATTACGTTTGTACGAAACATGCGAATGTAGCTCTCAGTCTATCGATCGCAACACCGAATAGGTGAAGGCCGGAGAGCAAGATTGAGGATGACGATCGGGGGTTGAATACAGACTATGCTCGCGGAATTCGGAGGGGAACGGGAGGAAGAGGAGGGGAGCGAAGGACCGAGGGAATGGTTTGGAATTAATCAGTATCGGTCTTCGGTAAATAACCGTAACGAGGATCCCTCGGTCAACTCATCGGGCTCTCTAAGAATTCGAGGAAAGGCTACACGCCGAGGCGGACTATGGCGGTTCGATAATGAAGCTCCGAGTTTCCCGATAGTGTTCGAAAAACGCCAGTAATTTATTTGGCAAGGATAAGTTACTTTGGTCTTTGTTCTTTTCTTTTCTGTATTTTGTCGCACGGGCAGAGTAACTGTCGATACACCATAATATGTTACACATAAAGTTTATATATTGAATTCTTCAATTTCAAAATTCATGATTTAATTTTGCTATCCTCGAACTGTTATCTATTTTATTTTATCTGTATCGATTAGTTTTGATTCTAACGTTTCTCCTACTTGAGATGAAAACACATTAAAATTTCTTTGTATTTTGTCGCTAATTTTCTCGAATGTTATCACGAAGAAGGGAGCGCTGTAAACGTAATCCGAATTGATTTTAGCGTAGATATTTCGCGTATATTGTTCCACCGAGAACCTCTTATTTAATATCAATAATTAGCCATTTAGCTAATTGACAGAAAATATATAAACGGAAGTGGTTATTTGCGGTGTTTATTTATTTAACCTGATATATTACTGTGTGGTAGAATAGCGAATTCGATAAAATTATATTTTACACTATCAATTGTATATATTAGTGTATAATTTTGCATAAAACCAATAAAATTATCAAATCTACAGACATCTCTCTCCCGTTGTTGTCCCGAATTTTGTCATGTATGTCAAATGATTATTAAATTATTATTAATTTATTATTAGTTATTATTAATTTGTCAGTTACAGTTGATTCATCGAGATTGAATGATTTTTATATATACGTTATTATACACCGATAAATATATGTTATTGTACACCGATTGTTTGAAATTACCTCAGCGACAAATAGCTTCGAATCATCCGTGACCGCTCGTTATGTGTGATTTCTCGCTGAAGGTTCTTCTCATCATCCTGAGAGACGAATCGCGCTTTGAGGACGAGTTGCCGAGCGTATCGACACAAGGATTTTTCTGCGCGACATTCGCGGATCGCCTGATTCCTTCTAATTTGCGCGATAAGAAAAATGAAGAGAGTCCCTCCGCGTTTTCTTCTTACGGTCAGAAACAGGTACGAGCAAATTGCAGTGGTTGTTCGCGCGGAAGCCTGCATCAATCCTGAATTTCAGGATATCCGCCCACGAAAGACAGACCGTTTGTCCGTCAATCGCGTTGCATCGGAGTGGGTGCGCGTAGATTGATAAACGCCGCCTCTAATTAGCGTTTCGCAATGCTCGACCGTATATCAATTATCTTTAGCCGCTTTTGAGGGGAAACTCGGTCGATTTCTTGCGACTCGATGATTTATGTTCACCCCGTTTAACAAAGTTTTTGTCCGCGGCTAAAGTTTTAGAGATGATTTATACGCACCCTCTCTGGGCTCCGTCTCGGAAAGGCTCACGGCATTCGAAGGTACTTTTCGCGACACACACAGGAATGCGTTCTTCTTGAGATACTTAACGAATGAATCAAATGTTTGTCCATGTCCAACAGCGTCCTGCGATTGGTCCTGACGTCGCTAATTCAATGGGCCAATCAGCGTAGTCCGTGATACGACGCGGGAAATCGAGACGTGTGCAAAACGTTCGCCATCTTGAAACATAACGGCTCGCTCGAAAAAGTGCTCCACACACGACAGTAAGTTTGGCTCGAACGTCCGGTATATTTCGTTCGTGTCGATTGTTTTAATTGCTTGGCTACCGAACGTACGTGCTGCTCGTTACCGGACGATAACGGTTGTCCGTTTTTGCTAATGTTTTTGGACGTTTCGTGCGATGAAGTATTCGGAGCATTTGGGAGATCGGGTGCTGAAATCGGGAAACCGAGACGGATGACGCTGGAAGCTGGGACGATGGACAACGATACATCATGTGTTACAAAGTATGTCAAGTCTTTTATTATACAGCGAATGTCCAGCGAATTTGAACAGGTATTCTATAACCTTACCGAGAACAAGAAGATACCCGAGTCGAAATGTAGACCGGCATTCATAATTCGTTATCATTTGACAAATAATTATAGCTTTATGTATCTCTGATTATTCATCAACCTGTATCTGTATTTATCAAATTATTTCATATAAGAAACATTGATCCGGACAATCAAATATGAATAAAGCCCATGAATATGAATCTGTAATTATGTTTTTAATCAAAGATCTGAAATAATTTACATCAACCTTAGAATCTAATATAAATCTCGCAAGTGTTAATTTTTATGTCTAATAATGCTCTTTGAGTCAACTTTGTTTGAGTCTACTTTAAATGTGATCTTTATTTCACCTGGTAATATCGTTTTTGTTTATTTCTGTTTAATTTTGTTACATTGTGTACAGAATCTGAAATTCTTGAATTTTAAATATCTATTCGTAAATACATGCAGCATTATTAAACTAATATTTAAAAAAATTGAAATAAAAAATTAGGAAGAGAATCTTTATTTAATTCTTTAAATATTTGCTTATTTCACATACTCTATTTACCTCTAATAAATTATATTCATTAAAACATCTTTGAATTACCCTAATAGCACACTTGTCTAGACATTGTATAATAATGGCATCATGAGACGAAAAATTTCTCAATTATTGCGCTAAGATGATTCATCATAACGCAATAGTTTTATCTAAATTAAATTTCAAAATGATATTTGTCTAAAATTAAACAAATTCAATTCGGAATTTTTTTGCAGTATTATTGCAGAATTATTTCGATATTTAAAATTAAAATTAAAACTTACAATATTTTCCAATTTAATGCAGTAATTACATTTTATAATATTTGCAGCATTGAATAAAATCTCAATATAAAATTAAATTTCACTATTTCAAACAAAAAAG